AGATGAAGCTGACATGCAAAGGCTTCTATATGCAACCATAAAACCACAGTTCTGTTTATAGCAATACCCTCTCCCGAAGGGCTGTTGGATCCAGGGGCTATTGGCCGCATGCATTGACAGCGGAGCGCTCTGTTGTAGGCCTAGTGGTGGCGCACTGGTACATACACCTTATAAATCATAGCCCGGCCATTAGCATAAATTCTCTCCCTTCTCCTTGCTGCTGCAAGACCTGCTGTTTGTGCTCGCAGCGTTTCTTGTTGATTGGCTGCCGCTCTTCAAGTCAAATTGATTTAGCTGCTCACAGATATTGTAGAACTGGCCACTGCGGTGGATGCTGTTAATTACCAATAATATCAAGCTAATTCTGATGCTAAATCCATTTGAAGTTCTCATAATTAAGTCAGGATTGGATCTTTAAATACCTTGGCACTGCATCCGTGTTGCAGTCGTTCTGTTTGGTGATACACAGCCAAGCTCAATGGTATTATTGTTAATGGATTTAATTGCCGTCAGTGATCAGTTCGCGGTCGCCAGAGGAAAACGGACTGGCCTCGCATTCTTTTCTTCCCCTTCTGTCCTTTCCCTCGCCATCTCTCATCCCCAGAAAGAGGCCCTTTGAGAGATGAGAGCAGATGAGGGGGAGGGTAGCGCCGCTTTACACCTCTGCAACAGAGGGATTGCTTTTTTTTTCATGTTTGTTAGGGAGGGGAATCAATTCTATTCACATCATCACATTCTGACAAGGCGAAGCAGTCAGTGTAGATATTGAGAAAATGCAGGTTTGCTTGGGTCTTATTTCTTCATCATCTGTCTTTTTTCTACAACAAAATCCCACCTTGTTTTTGTTGATAATTTTTCTCCTCCATCTTTAGCATCTCTCGTTTCCTCTCTTTCCCCATCTGCAAAAGGTAGGAAATGATGCGCTTCACGTACCAGCTGACACCACATAAGCTTGCTTGTCCTCTGAGGCGCGAGCCTTTTGTTTTCATGTACATTATGATAATTATGCAGGGCCACCGTTCCCCCTCCATCTTCATCATACTTGTAATGATACTTGATTTTCTTTTCCTTCAGGAGTTGCCACAGACCTCACTCTTTCAAAAAGGAATGTTTTTTTTCTTCACCCCGAGCCTCACTTTTTCTCGTCGTGTGTCAAGAGTGTCAGCTTCAGTTGCACTAACACTAATGTAGCTGTCCCTCGGCTCAAAAGAACAGGCGAGACGTTTTCCGGCGAGTGCTTTACATTATTTGCAGATTTGTACCAAAGGAAAAAAATGTTCCAAGAGGATCCGGATGTATTACAGTGAATCATCTGTCTCTTTAAGCACAAAGAAATGTACCTCGTTCTGCTTGACAGAGGCACTAATCTTAAAATGCAAGAACTCCGCTTCTCTGCCATTCAAAAATCGGAACGAGAATGACGGAAATACAAGAAAAATACAGTAGAATGTTTGTATTTGGCCCGTTGTTTTGAGATTAAGGCCTGACATTTAGTTGAGTGTAAAGAGTGGAACCATGATCACGAAAATCCAATTCCAGAACATTTACCTTTAGTCTGTAAAGACATTGTTTTTAGATTCAGAACTGTTTCTTTGCGCTGTGTCCTTTGGGAAATCTGATTTCTTCCATGGGACCTCTTAGCCATGTGACATCACTTTAAAAGGTTTTCTAATAAAGCTTAGTGACATGGGGATGATTCCCTAAGAGTTGACAGAGTACAGCCCTCCCAAATGTTACCAATACATCTGATCAGGTCTAGTTTGCATACTCAAATCTTCTCCGATCCAGTATGCCACATTGATATATTTGTCAGTCTGTGTCTTCAGCTCAAATTGTGTCACCTTGCATGAGAGGCGAGATTTGTAGGACCTTTGACCTTGCTCATAATTAGACAACTGCCACGTTTTTTGGGTTTTTTTTTTCCCCCACTGCAGCAATGGCTGCCCAAGACGGATGGCACAGCAGCCTCCTCCCTGTGGACTGCAGCAGGTTTCCTTGTCATCTGTGCCTCTTTCTCACCCCCTCTCTCCCTCTCTTGTCAGTGTTGCTCCTGGCGAAAGGCTGATACTTGATATTCAGAGGATAGCAGCTTTTGTCTCAGAGATTTAATCAGTGGCTCTGCAGAGGAGAGAGAGAGAGAGAGGGAGGTAAGAGGGGGTGGCGGAAAAGGGGGAAGGCAAAAGAGATGGAGGAAGAGACTGTTTATATGTAATGACACAATAACAAAGCCCGCCTGTAAAACACAATCTGCAAACTGTGCTTTTGAGGGGGATTTCCACTGCTGGATTAGTGTCAGGCAGAGGGATGTGGCAAAAGAGAAGACAGGAAAAGAGTCAGGTTGACGTGAGAGACCGGGGAGGTGACTGTGTGTGTGTGTGTGTGTGTGTGTGTGTGTGTGTGTGTGTGTGTGTGTGTGTGTGTGTGTGTGTGTGTGGGTGTGCTTGTGTTTTTTGTTTTTGGTTTTAAGGGGACCTGCTGAGGTTGGAGGGTGTGTGTGGGCACGTGCATGATGTGTTTGGTTTTTGCTCTTTCGTATTTGTTTGGCTGTACATGTTGGTGACTGTGTGGGCACATTGTTTTTGTAAACGAAAGCAGATTAAAGTTGGCTAATGTAAGTCTGTTGTTTGGCTGCTGAAATACTTCTTGTGAGAGTTTCTGTCGATAATGGTTGGTGTGTTAGTTGTGTGACTCGCTACTGTTTTAATGCGTCATTGACGTCGCCTTCAAAGGCCTCAAAAGAGCTCTTGACGATTTTTTAAGTAGGCCAGCATATTACCGTTATCACCCATTTATCAGGATGCATTTTGTTGTACAATGGTGCTTTGGCTTTCGAGTTGTGAGTAGGTGTTGGTTAATTGATTTATTTTTGTCTTGCAAAAATGTGACTTTCAATTGAGCTTCAGGCACTCCACCATTAGATGGCAGTGGCAGTGAATTGCACATGATCCATCCATCCATCCATCCATTCATCCATCAAGCACTCCACATTGTTTACAACGCAGGGAAAGTGTTGTTTGTGCTCACATATCCTGTTTTATTGAACCTATTTTTACTCTGCAGATGTTTTGCCAAATTAACTTTTTTTCTGTGAAAGCGCTGAGCAGAAGCCGCTGAATTAAAACACGAAATAATTCAAAACCTATGAGTGAGCTGGGAGAAAAAAGGCGAAAAAAGCAAAGTGACAACACTTTTTGCAAAAAGTATTTAATTCTTTACATTTTTTTAACACATTCAGTCAAAACTTTTATTTTGTATTTTTGGGTCGCTGTTAACAGATACTAACATTTCAATGGGGAACCTGTCATGGTTGGGTCATTTAGCACCAAGCTCTCCACAAACATGCGGTGTCATAAACCGGAGAGGGGGGCGCTCATCTTCCGGGCGCACCCCAGCCCAGTGTCGAACTCTCCGGTTTATGACACCACATGTTTGTGGAGAGCTTGGTGCTGAATGACCCAACCATGACAGAAAGTAGATGATAGTAGGTAATTTTCACAAAGTTGCTTTGTTTATTTTAGGGATAAAAAAATAATTGCCTCAACGGAACCTTTATGTCCTCTCTAAATGAAAACACGTTTAAAACACACCACCCAATTCTGTTCATCGGAACTATATTACGCCTTTAAAACTATTTGCTTGTTTACTTTATTTCCTCCCCTTTGCGTCAGGGAGTAATGTACATAGAATAAGAATCATGCCGGTTTGCTGGGAAGGCATGGGGAACTATACATAAAACAAACTTTCTAAAATGTCTATGTACAATTTTTGAATTTGCGCAAAAATAAGAGCTATCTAAGGCTATATCATAAGGAGAAAGGTCCTAATGTTCCTGTGTGAGAGAGAAACCGATGTAGAGAGCGTGCAATGTAATAATCTGGTTAGGATTAGGTTAGCACAAAGCAATAAATGAATCTGCCTTCCAATAAATATCCCATTTATTATTCATAAAAACTTTGCTCTCATAGTTTAAAAGTGAATGAGTTAATATGAAAGACAGTGTATTTTATTTATGTACGTCAATAAGAGTTTCCTAAACACTCTCACTTGGAGTCTTTATTCACAACAATAACTGCACAACATTCGACCAGATACGTGTGGCGTTAACATAAATCAGCAAATCAGTCATTCAAACAAATCTGTGCCTCTATAACTCCAGCTATTCATGTTTCATGAATCCATAAGTAAACACCATAGACTGCACTTATTAATCACTGAACTTTTCTTGACACTTTATACATTTAAAAAAGTTTGCTGTTGTTGGGGATTTGGGGAAATTGCAGTTTCCGACATAGCTTTCCACTTCACTTTTAAGGGGCAGCACATCGGAAGCTTGTGCTCGTAACTCGAAAAACTCAATTTGGGGACCACGGTGTTTGCATAAAATCTGATTGTGCGTGAAATCTGAGTTTAAAATATTATTTTCCTTGACTGTATGTACTGTAAGTATCTTTTTAATTGTGTACAATCATGGTGTATTCCTGCCATATAAAGTCTCATCTTCCCAGAATTTGGCAACCCAAAACCATTTTGCTTTTGAATATGTATATTTTTTTGCCCTCAACATCTCATGTCAATTTCCACCAGCGGCAAAGCCGAGAACGCATTTGGGACAGCTGCAGTTTTCTTGAATCCCAAAAGCAAAATGTGCTTTGTTGTTGGCTATTGGCTCTTAGACCGACATTCTCCTTGCGAGCTCGCATAGAATCAATAGAAGCTGAGAGGCAGTGAGCATGGCTAAATAGAAATATTGTTCAGGGGAAGTGAGATGTGAAAGGAAAAGTGTCAGTGTGTGTGTGTGTGTGTGTGTGTGTGTGTGTGTGTGTGTGTGTGTGTGTGTGTGTGTGTGTGTGCGTGCGTGCGTGCGTGCGTGCGTGCGTGCGTGTGTGTGTTGGAGATGTTGTGCAGGTGTGGGTGCTTGCATGTGTGTGTACGCGCTAAGGTTTGTGTGCGTGTGTGTGTTTTTGCTATTGTAACCCCACTGATTGGATTGTGTTTGACAGATATGGAGTCTGGAGAGCGGCTGGCCTCCCCTGCGCCCACCCTGTCTGCTGCGCGCACCTCCTCCCCTGCGGCCTCTTCCTCCTCATCCTCCTCTTCCTCGTCGTCATCTCCCGCTCCCCACTCAAAGAGCAGCCTGGCCCCGAGCCCCTCGGCTCTGGGTTCTGCCCTCAGCACCTCTGGTGAGCAGCACTTTATCTTTTGGCCTGAGTCAATCTTTGGTCAGTGTAATCAATAAAACAAGTCGAATCACGAAAAGTCAGACCACACATTGTTCACCTCGGACCACTGGAAAAAAATAACATTGTGGTCGTCAAAAACAAGGCAGAGGTTTCATTCCGAAAAGGTAATTTTAACATTGATGTCAGTCACTGTAACATGCACATTTTTTAATGTTAACAATGTGCTTGAATATGGGAAAAGCATCAAGTGTTTCAATGTGCTTATTTTAACATTAGGTGAATAGATTTGTTCAAAATGTATATTGAACTCAAAGAGGGAATTTGCATTTTTTTTAAATCCCTCATTTGTCATGTTTGTTGAAGCAGCCATTATGACTTCACAGTATACGATAAATATATGGGGGGAAAAAAGGTCGCTTTTGGTTTGTGCCTCCAATTTGATACACATGAAACCACAACCTCCGAGGAAAAGCAACTGATTGAAGAAGGCGTGATTTACGAGGTGGCATGGTGTGTCATCAATGAGTATGTCAATGAGTGTGTTCACTTGTAAGTCGCACCTTCTGCCTCTGCAATGGTTTTGGAAAAAGTCAAATTAGAGGCACAAGATGGGGCCAGAGTTGACTGATTTACTTTTTTTTCATAGATCATATTTTTCATACAGGTGACACGGTCCTCGTGAGAATTAGGGGATTAGATACCTGATGGATAGATATTTTTCTTACTGCTGTCAAGAAGTCCTAATAATTGTTTCACATATATGATAAAAAGTGAGTTCGCTTCGTCTTGAAAATATATCGCACATAAATTACAGAAGTATCATAATAAACACTAAAGATTGTACCTAAATAAACACTGTTTTTGAGGGTCTGAATCTGGGCGCCGGTCTTGCTGTGAGGCGTTTGCACATTGTTCTCCATGCTTATGTGGGCTTTGTCCAGGTACTGCTGTTTCCTCCCGCATTCCACTCTTGACTGTCCTGCGTTAATGTGAGCGTGAATGGTTATTTTGCGATTAGTTAGCGACTAGTCCAGTGTACACCCCTCAGATGGCATAGGCCCCAGCTCACCTGGACTCCAGTGAGGATAAGCGGTCCAGAAAATGGATGGATGGCACTTAGAAGTTAAATACAACTGAACTGTATTTAACAAATGGGGATAATGGATTCTCAAAAAGTTTGAGACGCTAACATATTCTGCTCAGTTTGTGCATTTGATTCAGTGGTGCCTTCACATAACCACGTTTTTAGAATCACTATTCTAAACCATTAAAAGTGACAAATGTGGCCACCTTCATGTCGTGATAGCATTCAGAATCCTCTTCCTCATCTCCTCTCTTTAGCATGAAAATGAGTTTCCTGCCGTATTAATTATACAGTTAATAGTATGTGAATACACCTCTTTCCCAACAAACAGGATTCCTCCCGCCCCCGCCACCCTCCCCCACTGACAGCTTTGGTTGCAATTGAAAAGCTGCTGCATTAATGAATCCCAAACAATTATGGGCTTCTTTTGTGTGAGAAACACACACATGCTTGGCCATGTCTCCTGACAACCTTCAGCTCTCTGGTTCCAGCTGCCTCAGTCGAGCTCAGCAGGACATTGTTTGTGCATGTGTATGTACTGTATGTGCATATTTATATCTCTCTATGACTGTGTGCGCGTGCGCGTGTGAGTGAGTGAGTGAGTGAGTGAGTGAGTGAGTGAGTGAGTGAGTGAGTGAGTGAGTGAGTGAGTGAGTGAGTGAGTGAGTGAGTGAGTGAGTGAGTGAGTGATGCGTGCGTGCGTGCGTGCGTGCGTGCGTGCGTGCGTGCGTGCGTGCGTGCGTGCGTGTGTGTGTGTGTGTGTGTGAGAAAGAGAGAGCAACGTCTTCCTGCATGATTTAACATTTTTCATCCACTCAGTGTACGCCCTGCCCAGAATACTTGGCAAGGGTGGGCAAACTTTTGTGCTCTGGGGCCACATTTGATTTTCCAAATCGGACGAATAGGACCATTTATTTTGATGATGAATTCATCAAATCCTTTTTCCTGTTTTAAATTGTAATATTTATAGTTGATTTAATTTAGAATAAATGAACCAATAAAAGAAGCACATTTTATGTAAACGGTTGTATTTTATTTATAATAAATAAATGAACCAAAAACGCATCGGGATCCCTCGGGAAAAGCTGGAAGAAGTAGCCCGGGAGACGGCTACAGCACACCCACAACCCCAGTGAGGATAACTGCTCCAGAAAATGGAATGATCATGGATTTTAATGAACCAAAAACTGCAAAATGAATGCAAGAAAGCGGACTGTGGATGACGTAAATGCTGGCATGTAGCCCACGGGCCCTATTTTGCTCACCTCGTTAAGTCATTAGAGAAGTGTGCATACGTTTTCAAGATGTATTTTTGAAATATCCCTTGTGGGAAAGGGTAACTGATTTGTGCATCCTCTTTCACCTCACCTCACTTTAATCTCTTGCTATCGACACACACATAGCAAATCACATTGGGCAGGGATTTGCATGCATCCAGTTTTTTCTTGGAACAGAACCCAATTCTTCTCTTACAAGATAAAGGAAGGAAAGCGTAAAATTAAGCACTGCGTTTTTTTTTTTGCCTTGTCTTGCTGTTGCGCTGGAGAAGATGCCATTAAAACATTTCCTTCCTCATGCATTATACATCATTCTGATCCCTCTGTGCCATTACGTGAGCTCAGATTTTCGAGATAAGCGATTTTGGGCAGAGCATCAAATGAAATGCGAGGCGAGCTCTGTGAACTTTTTGCAAGCAAACCACTTCTTTTGTACGATATCCCTTTTTGTGCAACTAATACACCGTACCAGATGCTGTCCATTTAAGCTGAAAGGTTTTCTGTCAAGTCATCGCTTTCCATTGACATCTAAGTTTAATTAAAAGCCGAATACAGCCATACCTTGACCTATAAGTGCCTCAGTTGGAGTTTTCTGAGTTTCGCTTTGCATTGCGAGCAGAATTTGAATTACTAGTCTTCATAACATTGGGACAATCTAAGCATGCTTTCTGATTACCATTGACATTAAGAATTAAATCATAAAACAACATGAGCTGGCATGCCAAAATAAGATTATGTTCAGAAAAAGTCATTTTGGAGGGGCAGAACCTGTTTAATTATGCACATTGTTTTTAAGTTAAGTAAAATATCGAAAATGTACTTTAATTCTTTTATTTTTCTCTATTGCTTTTTGTTTTTATACACTCTTGTAGTCGGGGTCACCAACATGGAATTTTGCTCAAGTGAGCATTGGAACACTGGCTGCTATGAATACAAATAAGATGTTCTCTCTTGATATTTGATATTTACCTCTATCCTAATTATTTTGAGGAACCATTAACATAATGTCTTCTCATAAAGGAAAGTCGTTAATTATTAATCATAACAAATAAAGTTTAGAGAAAATGTGTTCTTTAGGGGTATGCATCAAACTGCGCATTAATCAGTATCCAAGAATGGCATTTTCATTCATTTCAATGGTGAAAGTTGATTTAAAATTATTGAAATCACATTTTGAAGTAAAGATACCACTGGATTTTTCTGCAAGAACCCCCCCCCCCACCCACTCATATTTCTTTATTACAACCAAACCACTTCTTTTGTACAAAATACCTTTTGCATTGTATAAACTACAGTGGTGCCTTGATTCACAAGTTTAATCTGTTGTTTGATTGCCTTCATAACTCAAAACACTCATGTCTAAAATCGTCTTTCCCCATTGAATGGAAATGCTATTACATTGGACCCCCCACGAAAATCTTGATATAAGTGACGGCCATTATGAGTCTATTAAGGGGATAAAGAACATGATTTGCAAAATCACTGTATTGAGTTTTTATTTCTTGAACACAATGTCCCAATTTAATCGGAATTGAGTTTGTACAATACATTCATCCGATCTCAGATGTCAGAAGTGACTGAATGCAATGCAGAAGCAGCTCTCGTGTTGACAGACACGATTAATTTTTGCTCACCATGTAAAAAACCAAAACAAAACTGTAAGAATGGCTCTGAAGAAAAGGGAAAGTGCTAAAGGGAGTGTTATCGCAAACTCTTGTCATACATGAGATGAAAGATCTGCTCTTCTTTCCACGGTTTGTGTTGTTGCTATTTTTATTAGACAGACAAATGAGAAAACACTCGCTGGTGATAGCATGAGCGAACTAGTCAAAACATAAAAATGATCAAAAGAAATTTGAAAGAATTCATCTTTAAAATGACAACGTGACATCTAACGTAATTATTTTTGAACAGGTTTCCCTGAATTGGTATGCCAAAATCAAACAATCAGTTAGAAAAGAAACAGACACATTAATCAAAATCTCTCAGAATTTCTTTTTTTAGTCACCTCCCCCACCCGTTCCACCCCCCCAGTAAAGTTAATGAGCAGTACATAGTTGTCATGTGTTTAAAATGTTGAAGTTCTTTATAACGGGGTGTTTACATTTATTTTCATATTACATTATATTAGTTATTTTTAACCACACTGGTGAAAAAAAAGCAAAAGTAATTTGGGGCTGGAACCTATTAATAGCACTTCCATTCATATCATAGGGAAAAATTACCTTGATCTATGAACGGTTTAAGTTACAAATGGGCTCATGGAACCGATCAAGTTGGAAAGAGAGTTCCACTGCATATGGAATTTTGCATTCTGGGTTAGCATTAAACTAGCGGACTTTAAAACTATTGTGGTTGTTTTCGATGCATAATGTGCCCCATTGTCTTTTGTTTTATGTTCACTTTGACATTAAGCTTTAACTGCGTGGCAAAAAATAAAGCCTGTTTTTACATTTGGATATTTCACATTAAGATAAACGTGCCCTACAAACTCTTGACAGCTGGCTACCAGTTCAGGGTGTACCTTGCCTACTGGTCCAAAGAAGGCTGGCGCAGGCTCCAGCGCGCCCAACCCTCACCTTGATAGGCAGCTCAGATAATTGATTAATGGACTAAGATAAACTGCTGCTTGTTAAATGATTTATGTTTGCGTCCATTAAGTCGAGGTACCACTGTACTATATACCAGATGATGGCTGAAAGGTTTTCTGTCAACTCGCTTCTTTCTTCCTACATCTCAAGTTTAATTAGAAGGGAAAAAAAGGCTCCTTTCAGGCAGACTAACATGAAAGACTGTCAAACGGAACGCAGGTAACATCAGAGATACGGTATCATGGCAGTATGTACAGGCCTTGATTCAAGGTTCAATGTGCCTCTTACACTTTGGCAAAAGAACATTTATACAGTAAAACAATCATTTGCTGGTGCGTGTACGCGTGTCATTGATGAGGATATCACTTGGAGAATAAGCACTCATAGCGCTCTCCTTCTGGGATCAACTCACGGATGCAATTAACTTAAATCTGTCTGTGGAAATTTGATTGACTGCAACAAACAACAAATTAATCCCCCTTCGGCAGCATCCAAACATGAAAAAAGCAGGCGGTGCAGTTTGTCAGAGTGGAAGGAGGATTGAAACAGAATGAGAACGAGGGCGAGGGAGGGAGCGAGTGAGAGGGAGCGAGTAGGTAAATCCTCTATGTCGTTCCTTACTTGAATTTTTTTTTTAGATTTAATTATTCGCCAATTCGCCTTCCGGAAGCCCACATTAATAATGAGGAGGCATTTGCAGATGTCACTTTGTGTTGACTGGGAAAGGAGAGCCCGAGCCTGGTGTCGGTGTGGGGGTGTTGAGGTGGAGGGATGGGCACTGTCAATGCTGCGTATGTTGGCCTTTTCCGGGGTTCACATTGCAGTCGTTCATCTGTACACACCATAACCTCGGCTAGCAAGGCTCGCGTTGCATATTCAGCATATTCTAATGACATTCATCAGGCAGGTTTTGCTGTCGTTGAGTTCGAGAAGGGCCTTGAAGCAAAATCAAAGGCCGACACACTCATACGTCAACCCTGATAGTTGCTTACGAAATACAGTGGAAAACCGTTTGAGCATTAGTCTCCTTGATATCCAGTTTAAGGTCGAGGTACCCTTTGTCATCCCGAGGACAATTCAGCACACTAGTTGAATGACTTATGACTTAGTAATCTTACGGGCACTCGAACCAGTGATGGTAGTAATGGCAGTATAAATAATGGCTCTACTCCTAAGCATTATTTTTTTTTTATTCTCAGTAATACATAATCTATGATTGTCTATATTTGTAAATCTGTCATTGTAGCCAAATTTCGAGCATGTTACAGTAATTCTTAATTTCTTCTTTCATTTGGCGTACAGCTGGTTGCTCGAGCCACGGTTTGTGAACTTCCTTTTTTCACCTCCGTTTCGATTCAGTTCAATAAAGGCTTGACCAAAAAAAACAACAACAAAAAAAATGCATATTTAAGGGATGTGCCCATGTACTACATGATGAAAAGTGGCTCCAGTATACAACAGCTGTAGATATGAAAGGATCAATGCAACACGCGCCTTTTGAGCTACATGCCCGCAGCGCTGCTAAGCTAATGTCCATGCTTTACATTGCTTGCCTATAATGGGATTCTCGCCACAGTCACCATGGCAGCCACATTTCTACGAGCTTGCTTTGGTCTACTGTGAAACTGTGTCAATAGCGACAGAACCATTCTCTGTTGATTGCACCAGTGCTGTGGCCAATTGTGGCCAGAAAGCTGCCTTTGGAGTGGACTGGATGCTATTTTCTGTTTGTTAAATTGGTAATGGTCCGTTAAATTGAGGTTCCACTGTATTGACACCCAATAAAGTGCAAGTAATATCAACCATTCAAAAATAGCTATCTATATATATGTAAATATATATATTTAAAATGTACCAGTTAAATTTATTGAATTTATAGTGCAAAGGGTTCAAAGGACAAGTCAAACTTTTTCTTACAGTAATATGTTCTATGCACCGCCACCTGTTTCCTGAAGCTGAGCCACGATTGATCATTAACTGAGCCCTGAGCAACTGTGATGTCATTTTCAGCCGACAGCACCTGGCAAAATGGACACCTCCACCGAGAGGGCCAAAAATGGGTTGATTTATTCCACAAGCACAATATAATTCAGAACCGTGTTTAGAACATTTTATTGGAATGAAAATGAAAATTTTGGGGGGGGTTGACTTCCCCTTTAAAGCAATGTTGTAAAAGAGAATATTTTGTTGAATACTTGGAAGTACAGTCTGTACCAATTGTCTAGAAGCTGCAATATATATTTTTTTAATTTGACATGACACTGAAAGCACATAACTGTTTAAGGTTGCAGAAATTACCTAAATTAGGGCCTATGATCTGTGTACCGCTACTTGTTGCGGTTTAAAGTCCACCAAATACTCAATTAAAAAATAAAGCACTTAAATTTCATCAAAAATAACTTCAAATTGTAGCGCATAGTCTGAACTTAAAAGCACCTCTTGATAGTTTAATTTCAAACCCATTGTGGTGTTGTAGAGAGCTGGAATGCTGTAAATAGTGTCAATGTCCAAATATTTATGGACCAGACTATATGTTAGCCGAACAACTGCTAGCAAGTTAGCATTGCATAAATTCTCGGCTAAATAGCCTTCCTAGTGAGAACAAAAACCCTCAGAAGTACATGGACCTCAAGCTGGGTTTTGAATAAGTGCTCAAAGAGCTTTTCATAAATCTCCCAAGATATGTTTGTGCAATGCTGTCATACTGGTTAAAAATAATACATTCAAAATCATAATTCAGAGGGTGGACTTTATACTGCACTGTAAATACCCTTGGTCCGTTTGTTTGAGAAAAAAAAATGCAGTTCTCCGAATGTTTTACATTTCTGTAGTGTGTGTATGTGCATTGTAGTTTGACATTGATCTGCACCTTGCACAACACACTCCCTTTTCTTCAGTCATCACTTTCCCTGCATGTATATTACTTGCTTATGCAGAGGCATCATGCAGGCGTTCTCCCCTTTTCTAGAGCAGAAATTGAATTTGCATGAAATATGCTCACACCAAATTGCATCTGACTCCGGGAGGAGGTAATACGTGGCAGCTGCCCCTGTCGGAAATGATTGTGCTCAGAAAAAGTCTCGGTGAAGATGTCGTTAATGAAGTATTCTTCTGTGGTGAAATTGAATACCAAAAAAGATCGACGTGGTTATACAAGCACTTTTTTCTCGTCCTCGCAGAACACATCTAAGCTGTATCCACGAGCTCTGACATTTGGGATCCTATAACTTGTACTAGTACTCTCCTCAATAGTCGACAATAGTGACAGATTTCTACCACTATCGACTTCCATGCTGAGGCAGTCAGCCAGTGACCTCATATTCTACGTCTTTGTTTTAGAATGAAGTTAATGCTTTACTATAATGCACTTTACTTTGGAGTCAGCCAGTCCTCCATCAAACGTCTCCAGTTGGTCCAGAATGCTGCTGCTCACCTCTTGACTGGTACTCAGAAGAGGGAGCACATAACTCCTACTCTGGCATCCCTTCACTGGCTCCTTATACATTTTAGAGTTCTTTCTAAGATCCTATTTTGTTTTCAAATCTTTAAATGACCTCGCTCCACCTTACCTCTCTGAGCTCCTCCGCCCCTACACACCTGCCCAGTGCCTCAGGTCTGCGGACCAGACATTATTAGAGGGACCAAGAACTAAGTGGAGTCTTGCTGGTCCCTCTCTTTGGAATAACCTCCCACTGAACATTCATCCAGCCCTCTCGCCGCCCATCTTTAAAACTCGTCTCAAAACTCCTTTGTAGTCTTTGGCTTTTGACTCAGCATGACTCAGAATTGATCCTAGTTGTATTGTTTTGTGCTTCCTACTGTCTTCGTTATGAATTGATTGTTTATAGTTGTATGTATGATATTTGCTCCATGTACAGCACTTTGTATACAGCGGTGGTTGTTTTAAAGTGCTCCATCGATAAAGTTGAGTTGAGAAGTTTACTCACTCTCTCGTGGATATGGCTCAGTGTTTAAAAAAAAATCTGTTTGGTTCCGAAAATCTTCCACCAAGTTCCACCTAAAAAGGAGCACCACCATCACGACCAACAGTAAAAGTAGCGTAGTAGGCCAGAAATATCCCTCAAGAACAAGAAAATGGTTTTATGTTTTCATATTCTTGGAAGCCGCTGAAACAGTGTGCACAGTTGAACAAGAACACTGCTTAAGTATAGGAAAATGAAACTTTATTTAAATAACTCTCATTATAATGTATTTGACATATGTTCAACCCAAATTGTACCTCAATAAATGTTTGAAAACAAGCAGGTGTAAAACATTAAATACCGACATATTATAATTCAACTATAGCCATGTGAAAAAGTTTCCAACAAGTTTGGCAGCCCTTGTTCTTCATAAAGTACACAACTATGACCACATTTGAAAGCTTTCACTTTTGGTTGATTTGTTTCAGGCCGTCTGTTTGGAGCAGCTGGAGAGCAGCCCTTCATTGGCTCCACATTGTCAAGTGCCTTTCCTCTGGTGAACCACCCAGCCTTTGGGGCCCTCTACACTGCTGGAGTGAGCAGGCCGGAGTTTGGAGGACTTGGCTCCCTCGGCATGTCAGCTACTCTGGCTGCCCACCCCCAGCTCGGAGCCTTGTCAGGTAAGACGTGGAGGGGGACATTGCAAAAACACTGGAACGTAATGACTGATTTTTGCCACTTGAATTGCAAACACTACGTTGATTCCCCTCTTGACAGAGTGGTGGCGAGCTGCTGAAGCCCATGGGCGAGGAGCTGCTGCCTTTCTTCCTTCTTTCATAGGTTTCCCTCCGTTCTTTACCCCACACATTCAGCCAAACCATAGCGCCAGTCCTGTTCAGATTAGAATGCCCAGTAAGAATAGCCAAGAACCACCTAAAGGTATGCCACACAGACACATCTACTAATACTTAAAGACAATGCTGGAGAACAACTTGCTTTATCGCATTTTTCATCTCATGTTACAAATGTTTGGAAGAATCAATGACATTTGCGGTGAAAACACAACAATCAAACACAATACATTCCGGGAAGCTAGTCAATAGATTTGTTTGGATTTAGCAGAATTTTCCCTCATAAAACAATGGAAACTGAATTAATTCACTCCAGTGTCAAGCTGAAATACCGTTTGAATATTTCTTACATACCCTTGATATCCAGTTTGGGTTCATTGGACTAGTAGTGTATGCCCCTTGTCATCACTGTTGAGAAAATTCAGCAACAACTACAAGACGACTAGTGCACATGAGTAGATGACGGTCTTTTGAGTATTTTTTTTTCCATTTGTGCCACTTTTGTCCTGTTCGTACGACTTCAAGGTAGATGTCAAGTATATTGAAATAAGTCAAAAATATAAAAGTGCTTGTGCTTCGAAGCCTGAACATAAGGTACTCGAGTGTGTTATTACCAGAAGCTGTATTCTGGCTTGACGGTCATCACATTTTTTTCTTTGCCTTCTGTGATAGCATCACAGGAAAAAAGCTAGAAAAGGCACCAATTGTCCAGAGTTTAATCATTGAGAGTGATCAGGACGTTTTTGCAAGAATTGCTGAGGTCTCTCACTACATAGGAGATAGGATGAAGTCATTCTCTATGCCTATTTAAATAATTTTTTGCACAAATGCAGAGACATTTTCTCCCCTAAAATATTAATTCAATTGTATGACGGCAGTGACATTTGCCTTTAGAGTTTCCACCGTCACAGAATTTTGCAAGTGTTCTCCCTTCTCCTGATCAATTTCCCTTTTTTCGAGACAAATAAATTGCTCTCCATCCAGCCACACATGCCTTTTGGTTTTCCTTCGGTCATCTTTTTTTTTCCTTGCACCCTTTCAATTTCAGCCTTTTATTATGTCAGCCGTTAGTATTGGCCTTGTATATTTTGCAGCCAGCATGTTTTAAGAGTTAGATGCTCAAATCAATATTTGCCTCAGTCCATTTTGTAGTTGGTTCCAGATATTTTATTAGACTGTGCATCCACGTTCTCTGAAAAGTGAATAGGTGAAACAGACAATCTTTTTTTATGTTTCAAGGGGTGAATGGCGCAGTAAATGGCAGCGGCGTCTGTCAACCCACAACGCAGCCTGGGAGCTTTTGTGTAAGTCCGATCCCTGTTCAGGCATCGACCAATCCAACCAAAAAAGCAGAGCCCTCCAACAGTCCCTGTCAGAATAGCCCAGCTAAGACAGTGGAAAAACCTGCTGCTCCAAAAACTAAGGAAAGGGTAAGTTGTTGGTTCCTACGACTGTTCACCAGACACAAAAAATGTAATACTGTCTATAAAATGGCAAAAAATACATTTAGTGATGCGCATTTTGCCCTTTTCTCAACTCAGAGGCAACGTAAAAAGGCAGCAGAGGCTCCTGGACTAAGTAACAGTGAAACAGGCACATCTTCAGACAGCTCAAGCGACGGGTCCCTCAGCAGTGATTTGGAGGACCTCGCGGAGGATGATGAAGAAGACGATGATGAAGACGAGGACGATGACTTATCAGACTCTGAGAAACCGATAAAGAAGAAATCAAAGGTGAATATGAATGCTCAACATCAGTGGCGGGCCGTGCATTTGGCACCTAGGCCTGCAGTGGGGACTTGTATAACGAATTATATTACAGAAATCATCAATCTATATAAAGACGCTTGACAATAACAGCATGTAGCTGGAACAGTTAACAATCAATATTTATCAAATAGCATGACAAAAACAAAGAAATGAAGTAAAATGCTTCATACTCAGCAGAGATGCGCATTATTCAATGCTTTAATGTGGCAGAGGGCTACAGATGCGCTAAGCTAGTCATACATGGCTGTAACAGGTTCTCTTTGCCCAATCAGAGGACGGAAGTTGAAATCTCAGTCCCATTGCTTGTACAGTTTTAAGGAACAATAGGCAGCACTACCGATTGATGCTTAAGGACTTTGGCAAATGAGTTTGACATGGCAACACGTGATGGCTGAGATGTGATTGGACAAAAAAAAATATTGACATCCACATACACGTCCTGGAAGCAGTGTAGTCAAGAGAAACATTTTGAAAATAAGAGCATCTACTTTGAGGACCAAATGAATACAATGTCACACCAAATATGCATGGCTGAGGATGAATTTTTGCTTTGTTTAAGAAGGCTTTTTAAATGTCTGTTTCCTCCCCAGGTTCTGATACCAGTCGCTGGAAAGACAGACTTTGTGGTCCACACAGCAGACGCCCAGGGGAACCACATCCAAACAGCCCCCCCCAACCCTCCAACCCTCATTCCCATAGCCCATTCCGTGTCTCCCCCAGTCCTGTCCCAAAGCTCACCACTGGCTATACACTCTTCCAGATCCAGACCAGAACAACACTTCAGTGTGATCCAGTCCACTGGCCTGGCTGCCAACTCAAAGTCCCTGGCACTCCTCAGCCAGCCCCACAGGGAGTCCTCGCCGTCTTCCTCCCCCATCGCCCTCACCCACTCTCCAAATGCACTCACCAGCTCCGTGTCTCCCAAACGTCCCAAACTGCTGCCGTCCTCTTCGTCCCCTCAGCACTTGCCCCTCTCCCTTTCCTCCTCCCCCAAGCCTGTTTCGGTGCCCTCCCCCCCATGCTCGGCCTTCCCGCTGTCTACCTCCCCAAAGGATTTCACTTTGACCTCATCTGTAACTAGCCCCCACAAGTCCTCACTGAAGCCACCTCACTACGCTGCTGCGGGCAGTGCCAAAGCAAACAACAGGAGGAAACTGCTTGAAGACTCACTTGCACAGATCAATGAGTTCAGACTGAAACAGGTAAGCCGACTAACTCAACTGAATTCAGCACATCAATAGGAGAAGGTGGAGGACTCACACTGTTGTATTTGTTTCGCACTATACATGGTCCGGACCCTATTTTTATTTCGCACTGTACACTGTCCGGACCCACAGGGGATATGAGACCATATTAAAAAAAAAAAAAAAAAAAAAAAAAAAAAAGAGAAGAGAAGCTTTGCCTCTTCCACACACTTTTAATGCAGCACACACTGAAACTTTTTCAAATGTTTTTTTTCCCCGAGAATCTATTGTCAAAGAACACTTAGCGGAAATGATAAAAATGCTGTGTCACTCACACAGTTCTCCATATAAGAATGCATAGCTCAAGCTTTTATTTCTCATTGCCGCGAGGAGTTTATTGTAAAACTGGAAACATTTAAAAATCAAAATGATAACCAAATAATTTCATGTCAAATCATGGAAATCTATCGTAATCCTTTCAGGGTCAGTTCCGAGGTTCCACTGTACCAGAGTCTGCATTGTAGTTAGTCAGCTGCCCAATCAAACAGTAATACAAACTGACAGTTTGAGCAACTGCACTTTGTTCCATTTTCCCTAGTTTTCTTCTGAACTTTCATTGTGCCTCTCGGTTTTGCTATTACCGTCCACCATCCCCCCCAACTCACTGCCTCTTCTTGTTTTCTCTCCGCTCTTCTCCTCCTGTTCCCAGACTCTCATGTCCCAAGGACAGACGTTCCCAGCCGAGCCAAGGAAGCAGGGGCCGAACAAGTCTCCCAAGGGGATGTCTCTGTCTTCTCCGTTGCCACCCGCTTTGCCTCCTCCACCCCAGAACAATCACTCCAACCTCTTCCTCTCGAGCGCCCTGCTCGGGCTTCCTGAACCTAATCACCCCAACGGAGTCATCCAAAGCACCACTCAGGACGCACCTTTGGCCCTCATCACCAAACCTCGCAAAAACTCTGCCTCTCAAGGCAAGTCCCCTCAGTGTGACTCTGATGGTGGGTCAATGCCTGTCAATCTTAGCACAGGGGCGAGTAGGACCCAAACAAGCTCCCAGGCTGGTCTTGCGTCGCAGCCACCTACTACCTCACCTCATGCCGCGAGCTATGGCTCCAGAAAGATCAAGAACCCAAAGGGGAAGGGACAGACGCCAAACCTGACACAAGGACCGGGACAAACAGGGCCTTTAGCAAACTGGAAAGGCTTCTCTCAGAACCATTTGGTACAGTCTTTAGTCGATTTGTTTCGTGGAGGAGAGTCGGGGATCGGGATCCCGGGAGTCGGTATCCCCGGTGTTGGCATTCCTGGGGTGGGAATTCCTGGTAATTGTAACCCTGCGGCCGGTCTCCCCGCTAACAAGGAATCTGACGACTCAGGCGACGATGACGATGATGATGATGATGACCTTGAAGAGGAGGAAGAAGACGATGATGACTCTGACGACAGCTTGTCAGGTTGGTACAAACCGCACTCAGCACTTTGTTTATATATGTTACTAGCCTTTCAGCTTGTTTTTTAACAAATTCATACGCTGTAATTTTTCAGATTTATTTATTTTTTTCTTATTTTCCTGAATCAAGTTTTTAATTAACACCAGTTCTTGTCACTGTTTCTTTAACACCTCAAATTCCAGTGTGTTTGGACAATGGGCAGGTGAAAAACGACCTCAGAAATCACACTTTTAAATCAACCATCCATCCATTTTCTAATTAGCTTATCCTCACAAGGGTCACGGGGTGTGCTGGAGCCTATCCCAGCTGTCTTCGGGCAGTAGACGGGGTACACCCTGAATTGATTGCCAGCCAATGGCAGGGCACACGGAGATGAACAACTAACTATTCGCGCTCACAATCACACCTAGAGCCAATTTGGAATGCCCAATCAACCTGCCCGCACTTTTGCTTAGATTGCTAATAATCTAACAAATGGAGCTTCCACTTCTTTGTCAGCAGAGGGTGGAGGAAAGTTGGGGTTGCATAAGAAATCTCAAGTTTTTTTTTTTTAATTGAATTTAATTGAATGTTAATTCTCATGATCGTGCATTGCCAGTCATTGCAAGGTGCTGTACACAATTTGTAGGAGCTATAAACATCACAAGTCCTGTGTGGTCTACTTGTCACAAATCAAGCAATGTAAACATCTTTGGATTGAGAAGTATTGGAGAATGTCCCAATTCCTGTAAATTCACAGCGCCATTGAGGAGTAATGGATCAATATTCCCTGGTCACCTCTATCCAAAAGAATTGTGACGGTTTTTGTGTGAATTTCTACAACATGGCTCGGATGGGTTTTTTTTCCATAACTATTCCATAACATTATAGTTTGCTATTGAAAGTTTGTTATCTTAATGATGGCATATAATGTGAAATGCCATCGATGGGTTTAACAGAAATACAGAGAGCAGCAATACAACAACACTCAAAAGCATACCGGAGTACATACTGGAGCTTTGTTAGGGACCTTCTCTGAATCTTTCTTCATTAGAAATATGTCGCATGCTGCAGCACTTGACTGAGGGTGCAACTGTAAAATCTTGACCTGTCTGTCTGTATATTGAAAATGACAAAAAAATGTTAAAGGCAGTTATAAATCTGTAACAAAGGGCAGATTACCTGTACTTCATTGTGACATTGTAATCTGTTTGCATATGTCTAGAGTCAGACAGCAACTCAGACAGTGACATCTCTGGAAAGAAAGTCAAGGAGTCCTGGTCGCTGTCATCCGGCTCGTCAAAGAAGGAAACAACTCCCCGCGGGCAAACCAAAGGCCCAGAACTACTGAACACCTCAGCCAATCACACAGCCACCAGCTGCTCCCCTCTCAATCTCCAGGTCATCAAGACGCCCACTATTGTCACCAGCTCCAGTGCCTTGGCCTATCACAGCTCTCCTGGCTCCTCCTCCTACAGCCTAGCCTCTCCATTAGGTAATATATTAAAATATCTAATGCAGACTCATTGGGGAAAAAAGAGGGATGAAGATTGGTTTGGTACCTCTTGCTGACTTGTTGCAAGCAGCAGATGTTCACTTTATCATCATTAAAGCTGTATATGATACTGCAAAGAAAAGCTGCAGAATGCGATTCATGCATGGCCTGTGCTGTTTAACGCAATATGTTGAAGAGCGATCATTACCTCTAGAAAACGAGAAAGAAGACAGGAACCGGAGAGCCGAGGTCTTGTTGTGGCATGCTTGTGAAACTACTGTTTTGACACGTGTGATCTGTGTAGATTACTTATCCACATCAGAGAAAGTAGGACGTATTTGTAGCCAAAGCGGTCATTGCTGTGGAGCCTTTGTGCTCCATCTTTTCAGGAACAGTATTGTTCATTTATCTTTATTTATGTGAAGGCCCATTCGAAAAAGAATTCTCAAATGGTGTGTATCTTGAAGAGCATTGGCACCTGTGATCAAAGTGTTTTGACAAAATTCAGGACGTTAGGATTTGCTTTTCACACTTCTAAAGTGCCAACTTTTTCGACGATATCACCATGCAAGTGAATTGAGACATGCAACAAACAAGTTTCCCAACTTTCCCACACCACTGTTCATTCAGCTCATTCATAATATTTTGAGAGCCGTATTCCAGTAATCTTCAAATTCCCCAAAATGCTAAATTTTCACAATGAAATTCCCAAAAATATTGTGTGTGTGTGTGTGTGTGTGTGTGTGTGTGTGTGTGTGTGTGTGTGTGTGCGCGCGCGCCATTTTGCACTTGTGTATTCTTGGTGTAAAAATACCATTGACTCTTTTTATAGGTTTAGGAAAGAGAAAGCGTGTGATGGATGAGAAGGATTTGATGACACCTCTGGAGTTGGGGTACGGCTCAAATCAATCTATACCATCTACGGTAGTCATGTCTCACAACAAATATTCTTTTAAGATAATGGCCTTCTTTTTTTTGAACTTGTTAAAAACCAAGGTGGCGGAGAGAAACGAGAATCAAAAACGTGTCAGGGCGGCCTCAGGGGGATGTAGCCTACTACGCACCATGTGGCAAGAAACTGAGACAATACCCAGATGTGATGAAGGTATCTATGTATGCTCAAACAAATCAATGTGCATCAGTCTTTGTGATATCATTTGCACTTTGGCCACTGCTACGTGTACCCCTACTACTCCCATTCTGCTTCCTGTGACCCTAATAGTGTGAGATGTTATTCTTAGCGTCTCTTCTTGTGCCACTTAGCTTCCCTCACCCTCCACAAAGCAATGATTAATGGTTAATGTTGGGATGCACAGCTTCGGCCTCATTTGTACAGATAACGTTTATTTGGTTCAACAGTGATCGTCAAACTACCTTTAGTGCAGTTGTCAAAATAGAAAAATGGCTGCTCACTAGTATCCACTCACTGCTCATCCATCAGTCAGCAGGGAGTGAAAAAATGTCTGGCCACAGATAGTTAGAAAGAGCCTGAATTGTGCACCCCAAGGTCACAACTGTTTTTCTTTCCCTTAAGAGCTTTTGCTGTTTTTTTTTTCATTTTTATTTTTTGTTGTCCTCTGGCTTTTATCGTGATTAGCAAGGCCTGCACAGATGCACTACAACTGTAGACTCCCTCCCATCTATAGTCTAGTCTCCCAACTGCTTTTTCAATGTCGCTAATTTCGCCTTTTTCTGCCTAAACCAACGCCATTTATTATTTTCTCTTCTGTAGTATCTATCCAGAAATGGAATAAGTGGCATCACGCGTGATAATTTTAGCTTCAGTGCAAAGATCAGGGTTGGTGACTTCTATGAAGCCAGAGAAGGACCCCAGGTGAACGCCTTTCATCTCTCTCCCTCTCCCTCTCTCTGTGTCTCGTATGGAAAACCATTTGAGCATTTATTGATATCCATGATATCCAGCTTAAGGTCACTGAACTACACTTATTGTCCTTAGTAGAAAGACAATTGAGCGCGCTAGTAGAGCACCTGTAACTTATAAGTACGGTTCTTAGTAAAAGAGTCGTTCTACAGGCACACGCTTCTCATTCTAGTACTTGTGTTCTGAATTGTCTTACTAGTGAGGATAATAAGCATACTAGTACACTGACTTTAAGATGAACATCCTTGATATGCAATAAATGTTACAATGGCTTTCCGTACTTTCTCGCTCTCTCTCCCCCTCTCCTTGATCCCTGTTCAGGCTGAGCTTTATGCAGCAGTCACTGTCAGGGCAGGGACAGGAATCATGCAGAACCCTAGTGATGAACTTACTTCCTCAGGTGGCCTGTGTTGCCATGTAACCTGGTTTCTATACCTCCCTCAAACCTAAATAAGAACATTGATTATATCTTAAAAAAAAAAATCAACAATTAAGCTCCAGTGAAACATTTTTGATTCCGAATTAAATTCTTCCTCAAGTGTTAAATGTTGTTCACCACTTCCCCCTCCCAAACTCTCTGCATGTATTTTCTGGCTCTTCAGGGTTTACAGTGGAACCTGTTAAAGGAAGAGGAAGTCATTCCTCACATTTTGGCAATGGAAGGCCGGCGGGGTCGTCCCCCCAATTCAGAACGTCAGTTAGCTGGCGACAGTGCCAAAGCTAATCGGCGGAGGAAAGGTCGACCCCCGAATGTGGGCGATCCCTTGGTAACGGAAGGTCCCAGCCCCAGTGAGGTCAAACTCCTGCGCAAATTAGAAGCTCAAGGTCAGTAGAGAAAATGAGTTCCAGTATCTTTGGGTCAAGTTTAGCAAATAATCATAGAAACAGCAGAACTATGAGTAGTGTCAATTTGTGGTTTGATAATAGTATTGCAATATCTATTAATATATCAAATAAATGACATCTTCCATGATTGCAGGTGGCTAACATATTTACACTTTTTAGAAGTACAGATATGTCGTAGTACGTAATTAAAATGGTAAAATTAGAAGTACTGATTCAACTAAATATAAATAGCTAAATTAACTGGATACCTTTTCAGATTTGCCAAGAGTCATTCTTGTAGTGAACATCAAAAATTCTCTTTAAAAAAAAAAACATGGATGGGGAATTTCTTTCTTGGCTGAATCTGTTGCATCATTGTCGTGAATGCACATTGGTTCCTTCGTGTTGCTGCATTTCTTATTTTGCCACCTTAAGTCTCCAAGCTCAAAACCATTTAACATCTCAACCACGGTGGACTTGGCATCCGCCCCTTTACGTCTTTTATACATTGTGTCATCATCCGTGGGTGTTGGGGGAGGGAAAATACTGAACCTATTTTGACAACACCCGGAATAGAAAGTGTTGATATGTGTTTTCAAATGTAGTGAGTAAAAGTAAAAAGCCGTCAGAAAATTAAATCCTCAAAAGTATAGATACCTGAAAAGTCTGTTTCATTTTTTGTACTTCCGACTACTGTCCTTGATCCACTTTTACCTAATCAAGCACAGCCCCCTCATCATTCATTGAGCAAAGGAAGGTCAGGCAAAGAAATTCCTCACTGACAATTTTTCTCTTTTCCGGTGTTCAGAAATAGCCCGACAGGCAGCCCAGATGAAACTGATGAGAAAACTAGAAAAGCAGGCACTGGCACGTGCCGCCAAAGAAGCTCGGAAACAGCAAGGTAGGAACCTTTTATTTTTTTTTTTAAAACCAGTCTATACTGGACAGTCAGCTGTTTCACAACTCTGTGACTTTGCTCATTGGTTGATATTGTGGAAGCTGGATTGAGTTAAGGTCAGTGTATAAGCCCGCTGATTGTCGTCACTCGTGAGATGCACTAATAGAATGCCAAGGTTATGGTAGTAGAATAGCTAGTATCTTACTAGTAATGTTGTTTTCGTCAACTGTATGACAATACTGCACGGACAACTCTGGCATACTCGTAGGACAACTACATGTTACTTGTGAGGTAAAAGTATTTCTAGTGAAGCACTAGATGTTAACGAGTACAATTTTATATTGTCACAGAGAGCTTGCTAATACATGGACCTTTCACCTGGATGTCAAGTGTATTGATTACTTGCTCAAAACAGCTATCTATAGATCTGTTGCACAAGAAGATGAATTTGATCAGAGCTTTTAATGTGCGCTCTTTCACTTTGAGGTTTGAGTTTAGGAATTTCTATATGATTTCATCTTCTAACTCAGTTATACCCAAATTTGAACAGAAGACAACATTGAACTAGTAAAACACATTTTTAATGTTAAAAGATTTGTAAGCAAATTAATGTGAGTACTGTACACATTTAACTCAAGAAATATTTTTATATCATATATATATATATATATATATATATATGCAAAATATATATATATGCAATTTTTTTTTTTTTGCAAAACTATAAATGACCACTTCTGGCTAGTGATAGATATATTTTAGCATTAAAAATATCATTTGGTTGAAGAGCTTCTATATACTGGTGTATTAACCATGACAGAAATATAAAATGACAAATACCAATGGTCATTAGCAATGCTCTTAATTTGGGGTACCTGTGACAGAAACCTAACACAGGGTATTCTAATAAATTTACTGGCTACTCTAAACCAATGCAAGTGACTGGAGTGTGATTTCCCATGCAGATGTGGTTAACACATCAATACATACACTTTAGTCCTCAAACTCACCTTTTGGTATTCCCACACAATAAATGTTGACAAAGTAAAGTCAACCAACAAAGAGTAGCTGCATTACAAGAAAAGTGAAAACGGTGGATTGTGCACAAGGTCCACTGTAATAGTGAATGTAAGAATCAAACAGAAGAATGAATCAATTGTTCACTGTTCATCAATTGCTGATTGTCGATTCCTAATTCACATTCAGAGACACAAATTTAGTCTCACACCAATGGTGGAGGCTGACAGCATGAAAGATGCCAACCGAGCCTATCAGGAGCAATTAGGGGCTATGAAATCTGTCAATCGAATACATTTGAGACTCCGGCTGTGTAGGCCGATTTTGTAGTCGATCATAGAACCTCTCTTGACTCTTGCAGCTATCATGGCGGCAGAGGAGAGACGGAAGCAAAAAGAGCAGATCAAGATTCTTAAGCAGCAGGTACGTGGACTCCATGCCTTTGCTGACCAATGATTTCCTTTCCCCTTGAAAACCAGTAACTGTGTCGCTAAAAAATACTCAGTACCTCTAATCTGATAGTCTTGCTTTTCATTTTACCGCCGGCATTAAACATACTTTTGTGTTTTTTGCCCAAATGAACCAAAATATTGATGTAAAGTGATTTTATCCCAAGTATTTTTCTGTGGTTAAGTTTTCAGGTAAAAAATAACTCCTTTAACAGCAATAGATGTACCTCGTATGTCACTCTCTTAACATATTAAAATATTTTCTCGAAATGCCCGATGTACACCCTGCCCCTGATAAAATTGCTTGTATTTTATTAATGGGACAGTGATAACAGTGTTCGAGAGAGCAATAGAAACAGTCCCAAGAACTGTCTGTGTTCCCAACACATTTGCACTGGTTCCTGCAGAAAGATGCACCTGCTGATTTATGAAGGGTTATGGGAGAACCTTGAAAGAAGTCTAAGTCATGTACAGTGGTGCTTGAGACATGAGCTTAATTCATTCTCTCACTACCCACATAACCCATAACATGCGAGACTCGTCATCATTCATTATTAAAATGAAAGGAAACCATCAAAAGAACTTTGTGTTTTGACATGACAAACAGCACTCCATAATGTTGTACTTTGTAAAATCATAAAGTGCTCATAATTAACTAGAATTTAAAGAAACAGTTCTTGCTGCATTTTTTGCTTCAATGGACATTCTGCAGCTCTTTCTGGTGTGTGTGCATTGGCCACCCAGTGTCAGAAAAAAATAGAGATGGCGCAATTATTGGGCTCTTTAAAATTCCTCAGTAAGCAGCAATAATATTAATCACATAGAGGAAAAAGGATTTATGCCTCTAAGTTCTTTTATCTGTCTACATGTGCTGCTTCACCTTTTGGGCTCAAATATCCATTACTTTTAACAATGATAGATTCTGTTCGTTAGCCTTCTATGGCGGTTTGCAATGTCATCAAGCTAAAGAACTCCTCTTTGGCAAAGCTATGTGGTTGTTTTAAAGACACAGCTAGTTTTAATTGTTTAAACGGGGACATGCAAGAAACAGCTTAATGCCTCTTTTGTTGGGAGAATTCTTTGAAGGCAATCTCATAACAGTGAAACAGCAACAACAACAAAAAAAAACACAGATGGTGTAAAAAATAAAAATGCTTTCTGTTTATCCTAAAACATTAAGGATTTATCATCTGTTTGTCAATCTATAGCTGGGTTTCCAATACTGTTTTTCGCAACATAAAAGCAATAGTTCTACTTCGATAGTCTTTCATATAATAGAGGTGATAATTGTGATGATGTAATTGGACAAATTAACCCGAAACATTATGTCTGCATTCAAAAAACAAACAAAAAACGTTTTTATTTTGTTTTTTCCAACAGGAAAAGATCAAGCGTATTCAGCAAATTCGGATGGAAAAAGAACTCAGGGCACAGCAAATTTTGGAGGTAACAGAATCTGACCCAACAGCGCCCGATAAAGCAGAACATTCCTGGATAGCTGCAGCCCCTTTGACTACTGTATAGTGTTTTTAATCTTCCTAAAGCTCATTACTGAATAGTGGCATGCTTTGGAGGCGTTGCGTCGTCTTAGGCATAATTCCATATGGAACTAATGCTAAATTGGTCTTGGTTGACGGCTGTTGAATATTAAAATGGCGGTTGCTGCCTCTTCAGACCTTATTTAAATTGGACAGAAAGGTCTTTTTTCCCCCATCAGACAACAGTAACAGTTCGGTGTAAGTGGGTCGAGTGGAGAGAAGAAAAAAAGGCGCCACACACAAACAGAGAGAGATGCTTACACATACACAGACGCGCATATCCAGGCGCTCGCAATTATAATGCCGCAGCTTCAAAGTGTTTTAGGACTAAATCAATTTTGAGTCGACACGGTTGACAAGACGCTCTTAACAGGAGGCTTCAACATTTTCACAATTACGTGTTAAAGAGATACATAATTCATTGGCAGTGTTCTACAAATTTGACTGGCATTCTGGGGGCATGGAATGTTTGCTGAAACCAGGAAACTGCAAATATTGGGCTGAATCAGAGGCAAAAGTCAAGCTCGTCCGAGACTGATTGGCATGCATCTGTTCTTGACATGAATTTTTATTTGCAGGCCAAGCGAAAAAAGAAAGAAGAAGCAGCCAATGCCAAAATATTGGAGGCTGAAAAGCGAATAAAGGTATGACTCACTGAAGCCCAAGAATTAATTTATCACCACTTTAAATACATGGATTGTTAAAAGGCGTTTGTTTTTGTTTTTTTACCCAGGATTGTTAAAATAAAAGGCGTTCAGTTTTTTTTTCAACCCAATATTCTTTAAATTCATCTTCACACCCATATAAGAGGCTCTCTCCTCACAACTGTTTCTTACGAGTCACGCCCCACTCCCCCACTTCTAGCGCCACCTTTCGCCAATGAGTACACAAATCATTTTAAGGAAAAATACTACCGTTAAATCACATCAATACCTCACATCCGTGTATATATTCAAATATGATTAGCACATGTATACACGTGCCGACATAAATTTTGGTGAGAATCTGTCAAGAGTTTTCATACATTATGCCACTGTGATGGACCTGTTGTACACCAATGCACAGTACACAGGTTGGCTGCATTAGCCAGTCACTTCTATACAGCAATTTTATATCACAATGAGTGGTATAAAATGACCAGTAGCGTGTTAGAAGACAGAAGACATCACAGTATGGAGAGCACAGAAGACGTCACAGTATGGCAGCGTTACAGGATTTGTCATTTTGATAAATCTTTTTTTTTTCAGGGAATCAGATGCCATTGCTATTAGCATTTTTAATGTTCTCATACACCTGCCTGATAGAATGAAGTAAAATGAACTTTGAAACGTGTGTTGCTTTAAAGTCATGTTTTTGAAAATCTTTTTTAGTAAGCTACTTTTCGTTTACTGTTTTCTTACTTTGAAGCTCGCTAGTGTTCTTTTTCAGTTGGCATGGCCTCTAAAAAAGAAAAAAATGGGATTGGCAGGAGTATCACAGTGTTTTGATCTTACTGCCTCATCTCTTTTCTCTCTCCAAGGAGAAGGAGCTGAGGAGACAACAGGCGGAGATCCTGAAGCACCAGGTAAACTCACTACAACTTAAACACTGGTTCCTGCTCAACAAAAGAAGCTTTTGTCGTGATTAATTTTGAATATGAAAACTCAATGCTTTCTGGTTCTGGATATTACTTCTGTTTCATAATATTTTGCCAACTCTCTCTGCCAGGAGTTGGAGAGGCATAGACTAGATATGGTATGGGTATGTTTATTTTTGTACATCTAACACCTGCATCGTGTAACTGGTTGTGTTATGGTTGTCATAGCAATGCATTAAGTGTAGCACTGGCTGCTGTCATACTACATTCTTCTGCATGGCTTTCCAGCAAAACAAACAAAAGACATAAAAAGAGTCAGTATGCTGCCTCCATCTGCTCGTCATGAGGGACAACTGACCATGTCACATTGGCCAGGCAGCTTCTGCCCCCCCAATGCATTGCAAAAGACTGCTAGCCAAACCACACTCACTGTGTCTCAAAGTGCACTCGAGGAGTTTCCATCCATCACACACATCATCTTAATTGTTGTATTGGAATAGAGTTTGTTGTCATGAGTACTAGGGTGCAAAATTACATACATTTTCCAAGAAGGGGACTTGACATGGCCGTCAAAGGGAATAAACTACGAAGGCTCGTGCCACTTAATAGGAAACATAAATACAGTCAGGGAAAATGGATTTGAGCATAATCCGGTGTGAAACAAGATTTCAAGCAAGCACAGTGCGAGCACAGTACTACCTAGATTTACAAATTCTGCAATTTTTGATACATCGCTTAGTTAATTTGGTTGCCTCTTGTGTGAAGGAGAAAATTTCTCCAGCAGTAAAGATCGAACCTCAAGTTTCATCATCATTCCGTTCCATGAAGTCTGAATCATATGAAAACCAAAGCAACGAGTCCCATAAAAAAGAATATATTTTAAATCCAATTAATCCATTTCAGATGGAATCTTTACCCTCACGTGTGAACAAAAAATACATTTTATGGAAAATAACTTTTGCTTTGCATTGAAAAAAGTATATATAAATGGATGAATTGACGTCTAACAAACTTTTATTTTTAAAAAAATCTTGAAGAAGTTAATGAGGAGAAGATGAAATTTTTGTATTTTTGCTTTCTTGAATTCTGTCGAATTTCTCGCCTCAACCGATGGCAAGCTTAATTCAAGCATTTATTAACTCATTCAATGTTTTTTTCAGAATCCATTCATTCAATCCCATGTACATCTTTATGTATTTTTTTTCCCACGTGGTAGGATAAAGAAGGGTCTGAAAATGGCTGGCACTGAATGAATTAACAATTCAAGGCAATCAGCCCTCCCAGTCTGCTCAGCAACACTCAAGCAAGTTGGGGCAGTGTTGGCATAATACATCCTGACAAAAGTCAGCCCTTTCAAAAATAGCACACCAGCATAATGAGTTTCACCATGCGTTCTTTGTCCCTGTGGTGGTTTATTTAGCAGCTGCGCACACAGACTATTTTGTGCTTGTTTGTGTGTGACTGCTAAATAAACCACCGTGCGGTTTAAGAAAGTGTGGTGAGACTGTGTAACTGCAGTGCTTGCTTTTACTTTGAAGGTCCGGGTCATGGCGATGTTGCCCGAGTGGTGCCTAGCAGACCGGGAGACTTATTGCCTTGAGTTGTTAATAAAAGCTTGCATTGTCGTCTTTTTACACACCTTACACAATGCCTCGGCTGGACGTTCATTGATTTTTGGAATTGAATGGCCGAGTCAAATGTATTTATTTTTATCTGAAAGCTGAGTGGATGTCAACTGTAGATGAAAAAAATTACGAAATTGAGGTTCCATTCGACTATAAGGCCCTCACATGTGGGCAAGGTGGGTTAACAATTTTAAATGGATGTCTGCTTCTAAAAAAACTTAAAATTTCTTCGTGAATATGATCAATTTCCATCACCGTATATTCACAGTTAATTACCACAATTTCCGTGAAAATTAACTCAAAATTTTCCACCACTTTACAAACCTACTCACGGGAGCTTGACAATTGGCACAGACGTTTAGCATGTCTCTCGGTCCGAGTGCTGAACTTTAACCCGTCCCAGCCTCTATTATTCACCGTTATTTGAATCATTTTGTTTTCATGGTGGACAATGGAGATGCCTCAGTTGAATCGCCCACGTCACTGTCAGGTCATTTGACGGCAGAAACAGCATGTAGCAAGATCATCCCCGCGATCGATAACACCGAGGGGACAAATGGGTTCTGTATAGCATTTTCTTTCAGCCTGATTATTGTGCTTTGAGCCCTTCTCACACATGCTCAGCTGCAGCTGAATCTAAGGTCTGCCGATCTTATCTGTCCCTTATGCCCTGTAAAAGCTGTTGTATCAATCCATATGGACCTACATACAAACTGAAGGTGCAAATTACAATACTAAAACATAAAACATGATTAAAAGTGTATAATTAAACACCAAAATGATAAACCAAACCGCATCACAAAATTCTGATCTTCAGAAACAAACAATCTTCTTGTGAACATATTCAGTGGTACCTTGATTTACTAGTTAAATTCGTTCTTTGACCAAGCTCATTGCAATTTACTCATCACAAATCACACTTGTACTCCAGCTCGGGTCAGCCGTTTTACCATGCAGTCAGTTCAGCGTGAGCTTTTCCACCATGCTCCTTGAGAGTATGTTCATTTTGTTGTACGTCAAGGCACCACAATAGTGTAAAAATCCATAAAATGATTACAATTTTGCAAACAATGAAACACTGTATTTCAGACTTAGAAAACACTGCTATATTCCATTTTTAGTAATAAATAAATAAATAAAAATACATCATACCACTCCTAGTGCTACCAGGTCCCCATCCTGTTTTGATTCCCCCCCGTTTCCCAATGTAAAAATGCTCCTCACAACCATTTCACTCACTGCCGGTAATGTTCTTGGCAGGCAAAACTACTGGTAATTGTGTCCTTTGGTGGATCACAGTGGGAATTAGAGTCTGATACTGTCGAGGGTAAAACCTGAAGAGATCAAATGAAATGATAGCCAGTCACCGGTGATTCGCATGGCCTTTTGCAGAAGACTTTGAATCATACACCAGAGAACAAAATAGATGTCTCATTCTCCGCAGACTCATACTGTGCTAATACTAAAACTGCCAAATCCACTCAAGTGTAACTGCTCTGTTTGTAAGCTCATCATTCCTTTTTGTCGTCCCCTCCACTAAATATTATTAGTAAAGCGTCAAATAAATGTCACCAATGACTAATACAATATATTATCTTCTGGCAACCAACATTTTGTCGCTTGTATTCTATCCGCTTTAGCTTAGATGCGCCGTCACTGATTCCAGCTGCTTCTCTTTTTTGAGCCTGTCATCACATCTACTACGTATCGCATCTATGTGTTGCTTTTTTGGTTGTCATCGTACTACTGTATTCTTCACGTAATGCTTCCACCATACATGTGACAGTGTATACATGTGAAGCATCGTTTTGTGTTTGTTCCAAGTATGGTGCCTCTAATGAATTTAGAGCATTTCTGTTGTATTAATACATACTAAAATTGTACAGCCTTGACCGAGCTATTTGCAGTTGTCCCTGTTACTGTAATGTGCCTCTCTTTTCTGCTACTGTAGGAGAGAGAAAGGAGGAGGCAGCATGTAATGCTGATGAAGGCCGTTGAGGCTCGCAAGAAAGCAGAGGTAGTCATGGGCCGAAAAATCAAAAGACCAACACACACACATGAAGACACACACACACACACACACACACACACACGCACACGCACACGCACACACACACAAAAATGTAAAAAATGAGGGGTGTCCAAACTTTTTCCAGGCTAAAAGCAATCTGGAAAATTAATGTTCTTTTATATAAGTGATGCTGTCTGGCAGAATCACTGCATCTCCAAAACCTCTACTTTTCAAAAAAAAAAAAAAATGTAAAAAATGCCATCTCTCTTGAGTTGATATGCGCACCAATATCAACATACCACCTCAAAATCATGTTCAATCATGGCTGTATGCCGTAGTTTCTTCAGCACCAGAGGGAAAACTGTGATCCATTTTTAACAAAACATGCTGAAACTGATCTAACCTATTTTCACTTCAATTTATTTAGAAATATCCAGACTTTGAATCTTTTTGCCTCTGATTGTAAATAGTTATTCTGCATCATTTGCCCTTTGCCCTCTGTATTAAACCACAGTTTATTAGTCGTAACTGGTCATTTTAGTGCTCGGGGGTGTCGCACCACCTCACACTTTTTACACTGCCCCACATTATTTACCCGGGGGCACTAAAAAAAGAAGGTGGACGACAAATGGCCCCCAGGCAGTAGTTTGGACACCACAACGCCATGTCACAAAACAAAGTCATTATTCCTGCGTCAGCTCCCCATGTTCTCCCATGATATTGTTCATTCTTTCCCTTCAAAGATTCGGACCCTCGAGCACGTTTCCTTTGAATGCATATAGCTGCAATCTTAACACACACATGCTTTCACAAGCACACACACACACAAATATTGCTAGTTTTCAAAAATGTACACATGCACGATTCTGGACCAATACATTTTCTCCTAATGCGTCTGCAAACTCCGGATCTCACAGGAGCGCGAGCGCCTGCGGCAGGAAAAAAGGGACGAGAAACGTCTCAACAAAGAGCGCAAGCTGGAGCAACGCAGGCTGGAGTTGGAGATAGCCAGAGAGCTGAAGAAGCCAAATGAAGACATGTGCCTGTCGGATCAGAAGGTAGTTTAAGATCTTAGGTGATCTGTTTGTTTATATACATGTAGCTATGCTGTTTAGTCTAGATGTCTATGCCATTTAACCCTCACACACAGACTGGGGTAAACTTTACGAGTTTTGCCATTTGACCACTTTCCTCAATATTTCTTCAGATTTTTCCTGAAAAGACCAAAATACACAACAACATGGTTGAAGCATAAAAGAAAAAAAACTGCATATGTGGCTTTCTTAGATAGAATAGGACATCACATTCTCTGGTAGTAGATGTTTTTATCCAAAAACGAGTGCTGTAAAACAAAAACTATTTATCATACCTTTTCGCAATTTGATACAGATCATGATTATGAAGATATTTCGGAGCATACTATCGGTATGCGTGTATGGAAAAGGAACTGAAAGTGTGTAGTTAAATATGTTGTTATGAGACAATCAGTATTGGTGGTCTTGACGACACCAAATAAGTCTGTAGTAGTGATATTTTTTATTTCTATGCCCTCAAGTGGCTATTGATAGTACTACATACTATTAAAGTTAATAACCAGGCACATTGGGCACATCTTGAAGGTGACACCAAATTTGAACTTCTAGGAAACATTCTACCCATATTGTCTTCTTCAGGCTCTACCTGAGTTCTCCAGAATTCCCGGGCTGATCCTTCCAGGCCGTGCAGTGTCTGACTGTTTAATGCTGATGCAGTTCTTGCGAGGATTTGGAAAAGTTTTGGGCCTGGACTTGAATGTTGATGTCCCAACACTGGGTATGCTACAAGAGGGCTTGCTCAATGTGGGCGATAGCATGGGTCAAGTCCAAGACCTCTTGGTCAAACTACTGTCTCTGGCAGTCTGTGATCCTGGTTTGCCTCCTGGACAAAAGGTAATGTACTTCATTTGGGTGAGTTTGTTCTCTATTTGTTTTAGTTAAATTTAAAAAAACCTTCATAGTTATAAATGTTCATGGTACACTGCTTAGGTGCATCTTGTTCAAGATTTTAAATAGGCCCCATGAAAGAGCCAGTAAATGTCTCAAAGATGTGGTAAATTTATTTAGAATAACGGGAATGAGCTGAGAAAAGTGAAAACTGAGGTTAATTAAAGGAAAGGTATCGTTATAAATGTTAAAAGCCAGAGCCATGCAAAATACACATTACAGTACTGTGACTGTTTTTGTTTTGGTTTTGTTTAGTTTTTTTAAGGATACTGTACTTGTATGAAACGTGGTTGTGGCTTTCCATAACTGTGTTTGAATCTCCTATGAAGAGACATCCTTGAATTTTGTAAATTCCTGGCCTATTACCGTCTATTCTCATTAGTTTCCATGGAAAGTTGACCGACTTTTGAAAATCCCCAGAATTTTGACACCCTTGGATATGAATGAAACATGCAAAGTCAAAATGTTGACATTTTCTACTTCTCTGCTAGACAAAGACCATGCTGGGGGACCATTTGACCAACGTTGGCATAAACCGGGACAATGTGTCTGAGGTGCTGCAGATGTACATGGGGGCCCATTGTGCCAATACTGATCTCGCCCCTCTAGCCCTCAGTCTGAAGACCAAGGCTTTCCAGGCACACACGCCTTCCCAGAAAGCCTCCATCCTGGGATTCCTGGCAAACGAGCTGGCTTGCAGCAAAGTCGTTATCAGGTATTTGTTGCAACATAAAATGCACTATAACTTTTACAGGTGCGTGTAATTTCACCCCACTCAACTGTTCAGTAGCTGTGTTTCATTGCCACTGAAATTATTCCGACTGGAGATCTCTGGTGAGCTGTTTATATGTGACGTGACCTCTTCCGATTATATGCGCCGTGACATTAAATCAGAACAGCGGTGTGACATGCGCAGATTAATCATATGATTCATCAAGATGGAGTTCACTCGTATATTTAGCCCAGTACTTGTGATTGTTTTTACACATTTATAAAATCAACAGCCTGACAAAAACGAGTTACCAGTAGTTTAAAGCAAGCTCTGGTAGGACGCTGCCATTTTCAAGAGCGTAAACGGCAACGTCACTACGCATTTATGTCACCGCAGTGGATGCAGCCTGGCTGTGGCGACTGAATTGTTCACATTGACAAAAGGAATATCCCACCACCTTTGATTCTGAATGAAAGTCCATTTGGATTCGGCCTCTTGATTCCGATTGAGGTGTTTATATGGAGCATTTTCATTCTGTTTTGTTTATTTAGGTTTAATTGGAATGCGAGGCCCCTTGTAACTCTGCTAATGTTTTTGCACAACTTGCTGTTCTCCAATAAGGAGCTGAAGAGCAGAATTCACAACAGGTGTTTGAACCATAAACATTTCCGGTGATGCCTCTCTCGCAAACCACTTATGACACTATAAGCTCAGTGGCCCCTTGTTGCAACAGAGATACAGAGAATCACCAAAAGGTGTAGGAATGAGCGTTCTTGACTACTGGAAGTTGCGTATTTTGCTCCTCAGCTCCTTGTTAGAGAAAGCCTAACGAACTTTTTGTGAGCAGTGTATGTACTGTGTTTACAAAATCAGCCAATGGATCTATTTCACCCTTTCTTACAGTGAAATTGATAAGAACCTGGAGCAGATGGCAAACATGAGGAAAGACAAAATTATCATGGAGGGGAAGCTTAAGAAGTAAGTTTATAGTGTGTATATTTTGGGGGCTTTACAAAATAATGTTTGATAACTATAGACATTATAACCCTCGAACTATATTTTCCAATCCAGATTGAGAGCCATTTATGCCAAACGCACTGGGAAGAGGGAGGCCAGTGTGGGTGTGGAAGAGAACCAGTCTTTCGGTACGCCATCTTCGGCTGTCAAACGCAAGAGGAAACTTGGTGGTGACAGTGACGACGATGACGACGACGACGATGACAGTGACGATCCGGCTGATGACGATGAAGATGAGGATGAAGATGACTTTAAGAAGATTAAAAAAGTGGAAACATATGATGAGGTAAAAAAAAAAAAAGAATATGTATATATAGATGCATTGGTAACTTCGGCGAATACGTCTGAATGGTTTTCTGTTGTGTCAGGATGAAGTTGACCAAGCCACTAGCGTGGAGGAGCTAGAAAAGCAGATAGAGAAGTTAGCTAAGGTATTGTTACTTTTATTTATTTTCTGCTTTCGTTGTTAATTGGAAAATATGTTGGTTTTAAAATGGTATGCAAGTGGATTCTCTTACCCGGCTTCTTGCTAGTTAAGAAATTCTTTGGTTGATGTGACATTAACCTGACATTCACTCCTCATGTCCTGTTTCCTTACACAAAGCAAAGCAAATATTGAGGAATATGTGCCAAAAGAAAACAGTGAATGCTCTGTCCCACTGCAGCAACATCACCAGACAAGGAGAAAGCTGTTTGAAATATCCCACTCACTGCGCTCTATGATGTACGGCCAAGATCGTTACCGCCGTCGATACTGGGTACTTCCCCACTGTGGAGGGGTCTTTATTGAAGCCATGGAGAGTGGAGAAGGTAATTACAGGACACCGAGAGACAGTGTTGGTCTGATGGTAGTTCTTGTGCAGCCTTGTCTGGTTTTACTGCAATTCCTGCTTCTTTATGGTCATTTTTGGATACCGACAAACGTCGTGAGTTCAGAGTTCAGGAGTTATGTTTTTCTTTTACTGCGTGAATACATTTTCAGGTTTTGTCAGTGGTGTAAAATATCCTTCTTTTTATTCGATTTTTAACTTTTAAATTAACTTGTTTGCACAATGTTGCAGGTTGGAAAACAACCAGAAATTACATTATTTATTCTCATCACCACCGTTTTTTTTTTCTGCTCCCCCACACCCCAACCAGTTACAAATAAGATACATAGAATTGTGTTTCACTTCAGATTGTTTTACCATATTTTGTCACACCATACCACAATGCTTTCACAAAGCTCACTTTTAGATTACTGTGGACCACAGCAACATGTACACATAGCCCAATCCCAGGTTTTGTTGTTGGTGGTTGAGCAAAAGTCATAATTACAGGAAACAACCTCGTTATGAGATCGTACCACAATTATGTCTTAGGATTTCTTTTTCTTTTCTTTTTTTTTTACTGGAGAAACTTAGAAATGTGAATGTTCCCGTTTCTGCCTGCCCTTTTGGGGACATCCTGGGATCACATCCTGGGATCACCCCCAGGACTGTCCCCCTGAGGTACAGAGTGCAAGGGCAAACAGACAGGGAAAGGTGTTTGGACTAACGTCCCAAAAAGGGACACCATTGGCAACATTAGGGAGCACCAAAACCTCTGGGTCATGCCAGTGCTAAAAAAAAAATAAATCCTGTAAATAAGAGAAAAACAATGTTCATGGGGTTAAATTGGCCAAAAGTGGCCACAATCAAGCCAAATGGTACAATTTCACTGCTGATTTACAGAAACAGCCAACGTTGAAAATGTCATGATCTGGCTAAAATCCCCACTCTTCAGAAACTTTCTTACATTTGTTTTGAACTTTCTTACATTTGTTTTGAAAAAGCTAACTGGTTCCCCAAAAAAAGATGCGAGTTGGACACATGGCCATCGTAGAAGCATGAGAGTAAATTTACAATTCCAACACTGATAATATTGTCTTATTTGCATGTAGCGCCAGAGGAACTAGAGGAGGAGCGACAGAGGCGGAGAAGAGCAGCAGAAGAAGTCAAAGTCAAAGATGAACCTCAGGAGATTGAACTGGAGAAGGACGAACCCGCCTCACATTCTGGCCTCCCACATGGCTTGCAACAACAGAAGGAAGAGGAAGAAGACAATGAGCGGAAGGACTCTCCAACCACCTTCTACCAACAGCAAGGTTATGTGTCTCAAATTTGCCCAGATGCCCCCAGAGAAATGATGAAGGCGGAGGACCAGGCGAGCCCTCACGTTGGACAGAATGGCAACCATACGTGTTCTCCTATTGCCACAACTACCGTGACGTCATACTCCCCCTCTCAGAATACCTCCGAGCTGGCCGCTGCAAAAACCGCTGTGATAGTCGGTCATGACACTTCAAATGTCCCCGGCCCAATCTCAACCTCCCTATCCGCCCGGTGCCTGCCGGCCCTGCGTGAAAGCCCGGGCAACTCTCCTCCGGCCTCTTCCCCAACACCATCCCAACAACTCTCTCTCCAGCCCAACGACCAGCTGCTTCGGGTTCTAACTGAGAGGAGCGGACACTGGTTCAGCCTGCTCCCTCGCAACCCCTGCGACCTTTCTTCCCTGACGACGACCGCGCCCGGGACGCTTGATGCCACTCCTCAGGCGTCCTCCACACCAAGCAAGCCCAGATCTCCTCCAGCGTCACCTGCACTCCCTCTCACTCCCTCTGCGGCGTCAGCCTCGGTCAGCCCGCACCACCCGGGCGGCCTCCTCACCTACCCTCTCTCAGCACTGCAGGTGAGGTCGCTCGCCACAGGTGCATGGAAACACATTAATGTAAAGAGTAGGGTTACACAATTCCTCCAGGAATAAACAATAAGTTAATTTACAAAACTGGAGTGTGGCTCTTAAAAGGGAACTTATAGTACCTGTAAAGTGAAAATAAGTCTTTAATTGTGATACACCACCAAGAAGGGTGTCGTGAGCAGCCTTGCCATATTTGAATGATTAAAACTAATTGCCAAGTATATAAAATGAGGCTTCAAAATAGTGGGAATAACAAGCCTTTGTCCACTCTCAAGACGCTGTGGGCGTGTCCACTGAATGCGCTGATACCACAAGCTGTCAAATACCTCGAACAACGATCAACAAAAACATGCTACTTATCGTATCCTTCCAATGCCTACACGTATGCATAACTGTTTAAGCAGCAATAATCTGTTTAAGGCTTCAGTGACTACAATATATCTCAATGGATCATGGTTTTTCCATGCCACCAAAAAGAGACGCTCAATAGCAGTCATTGGTTATGCCATTGAAACTTCCAATTTACAATGCACCTTTGAAACACATTGTAATTATGTTCCAAAATTGCAGCAAGTTTCTAAGTAGGAAACTTGCCATGGTGTTAATGTGAATGCATCAATAATTTACAAGAGTGCATGTTGGCTCATTATCGAGAACTTTAAAATGTTTGGAGGATAATCCTGATAAAAAGAAGCAGTAAGGACTTCCCTGAATTTTCTTTCTGTGTGGCTACAATCCACGGTCTTCTCTTTTGTTTTCTTTTCAGGCAAAGTCGGGCATTTCATTACTGGGAGTATCTTTGGGGAGCTGGTCGAGTGGCATGATAAGTCCCAGCTTGCCTCTGTGCAGCAGCCCCAGTCCCATGTTGGGTCACTCTGTTGAGGGCAACACGGCAGCAAGTGTGTCCAGTAAGAGTGAATCACCTCTACCTCGCATTGAGAAAAGTTCATCCATGCCCTCTCCTCCTACTGTGGAGATTCCGAAATCTCTTGACCACCACACACCCCGGCCTATCCCAGAGGGTAAGATTCTGACCCTATCTGAGAAAAATATTAAGAGGGCCACTGACCTGTAAACTCTGGTGAGCTAAAATATAGGATGTTGGATAATGGAGCAGGTCAAGGCACAAGTGCAAATCATTTTGTCTTGAGGAAGTCCAGTCACAGGTTATCTCATGTCATAATTAAAAGTTCCACGTCATCCCATTAATGCAGTCTTGCCTGCGGCATATCATCTTGCTAGAGAGAAGAAGACCAGTAAGTGCCAATAATGACATTATTAGCCAATTTGCAGCAACTTTGGTCCCTTTCCATGCATAATCGTATGATATCATAAACGGCTTTAGAATATACGATCCAACATAAAGCACACCAGATTACAACAACCTGATCTGATTGTGAATGAGGCATCTGAATGTGTTAAATTGGATTTGTCTCATTATGACCAATTATGAAAGCATCGATTTGGATAATTGTCTTATTGCGTAACTTGTGTGTGGCTTCTCATTATAGGAAATCCTTGAATGCGTAATAATTCTCCAGAAGGGTTTCTGTATGAAAAACGGCAGTCACACAAACAAGGGATTAGGGGCACATTTTCTGTACAGCATATGCAAATGAATGAAAATTTGATGTGTGATAAACATGGTCTGACACACAACTTGTGTTGATATCCTTTAGACATGTTGACTGGTTGGTGGCGTATCTCTGACATAGAGGAGCTGCGCGCGCTGGTCGTTGCTCTCCACAGCCGAGGTATCAGGGAGAAAGGCCTCCAGAGGCAGGTGCAAAAATATATTGAGATCATCCCTCAAGTCTGCATTAAACACAAGGATGGTAAGTGCGTCAAAACAGTACATTGAACACCCCTTTACGCGTGCTTGCTTCAAGCTTTTTCTTGGGCACGCCCACGCCCAGTTGAGGGCGACTGTCAAACTTGCTAATAAAACCAAAGAGAATTAAATGTTGTACAAGTGGTGAGTTGAGGTACGAGTGACATAATTTTTTTTTTTTTTTTTCGGGCGGGGAGGGGCTGTTTTGGCAGCTATACCAAGTAAATATTCTTGTGCTGAAGGTTAGTGTCAAACTAAACACACAAAAAAAAATACACTGTGCTCAACTTTATTTAGCACTTCAAAGACAATTGGACATTGTGTATTCAAACAATCACATAGGCTCCACTACCTGAATGCGAGAATGGGAAACACCCTAGGCACAGCATCTACTGTATGTCTGAATGTAAACTGTGCTGCACACAACACACAAGTACACAGATCAAGTAACAATCAACGAACAACAAAACAAGAAAAGTCTGCTAGATTAATGCTATCATCTAATGAAAATGGTAATTATAAATTGCAATTATAAACCTACCAACAACTAAAAAGAGTCATACAAGTGCTGTAAAAAAATAAACAGGAAGTTTATATCATGGAAGTCCATGGTGTTGATCGATGTCTTCATATGACATACATCTAGTGGCCATGATCGAGTTGCGGGAGCTAGAGGAGAGCCAGGTCAGTGTGGAGTCGGTACGAGGCTGGTGCGTGGAGGAGCAGGCCATGGAAATGGACATTGCCGTGCTTCAGCAAGTGGAGGAACTGGAAAGGAAGGTTACTGCTGCCAGCCTGCAGGTCAAGGTATGTAGCTACGGAAAGTTCATGTTGTTACATGAGAAAAAAAAAAAAAGAGTTCAATATCATGTTTTAACCTCATAAATTTGAACATCAAAACCAACAACAGTAGAGCTGGGATGTGCCCCCCGAATCCCGTTCCCCAATTGTGTTGAAGGGAGTAAACGATACCCGGTTTGAGTTGAAACTTCACTTCTTAACTACAGAGAAAAAAAGTGTTCTTTTTAATTTAAAATAGCTTACCTTAGAAGCATGGCATTGTGGCCAAAGATAGTCATTGCGCCTTTTAGTGCAGTAAATCCTAAATATTTGTTGTAGGATCAGCTCAACTATGAAAAAAAGTGTGACTTGTGCTGTGACCAGGTGCCTTTAGACTCAGTAGCGAGCATCCTGATTTCCTCCCCCAGGGCTGGACCCATCCTGATCCTCAGTCCGAGCGGGAAGATCTGGTGTATTACGAGCACAAGCCCCTCACCAGATCGGGCCCCGTGTCCTCATCATCAAACGGGGGAGACAAGGACGGCAAGGATCATCCTGAGGAGCGGGGGGAGAAGGGCGGGGTGATACGTCACCCAGACAACCCTCTGGACATAGCAGTGACCCGTCTGGCCAATCTGGAGCGCAACATCGAGAGAAGGTACCTGAGGAGCCCCTTAGGTACCACCATTCAGATCAGGCTGGATAATGTGGGTACGGTCACTGTCCCTGCCCCCGCACCATCCGCTAGTGCTGACAGGGAAGGGTAGGTCATCTCTCCAACCGAAAGCACCCCCCGCTCTCACGTTCAGACCCTCTCCTTTGTCTGTGTGTGCTTTCCCATATGACTCCAAGGTTTAGGGTATTGGATGAGGGGCCGTCGGGGTGTCAGTCACTACCGCCTCCCCCAGGCACCTACGTGAAACGCTCTCATGCACGCTACTGAAATGCTCATAGCCATGAATGAAATGTTTTGACTCCGTTTTTTTTCGCTCTCACATTCTACAGAAACGCTGTCATAAGCAGTACTGTTACATTCGCACACATTGTTGATTTCATTTTTTTTTGTTCTCGCATTCAATTCAAACACCTAACTCGCATTCAATTCAAACACCTAATACGCACGACTGAAAGACTCACATATGCTAATGAAACACGGTCACATGCACCCTGCAGATTTTTTTTTTCGCTCACACCCAAAACTGAAATGCTCACACCCGCTGAAATGTTTTCGCTTACTACTAAAATACTCTCATACACACTACTGAAACACTTGAGGCACAGTACTGAAAAGCTGAAAGACTATCGCGCACAATTTTTTTTCAAGCACATGTTGTTAAAATGCTCTCCTACATATTTTTGAAACATTCTCTCACATTAACATTTTTTTTTCACAAACAGCTACTAAACAGTGACAAAACTCTGAAAGGCTCCCACACTCACTGCTCAGACGCTCACACACAATACTTGAATGTTGTCACACCACTAATTTTGATCCAATTTTGTTCTATACATACACTACAAATGCACTCTTGGTTGCACTCGTGAAATGCTGTCATCCACACTTTTGAAAAGCTTGCATGTAACTCCTGAAACTTTTACTCTTACACACTATAGTAACACTCACACAAACTACTGTTTTTTTGTGATCACTGTCACCGCTAAAACGCTTTTATACACACTGAGAACCTCTCACACTCAGAATTTTTTTGCGCTCATAGACACGACTGTAGGACTCTCCCACGCTACTAAAACCACTTTTATACACAATACTCAGAGCTCTCATAAAACTCTATTGAAACATTCTAACACGCACATAAATAAATACAAATAAAAAGCCTTTATACACACCGCACATAATTAACTCATTCAGTATCAGCCAATTCTGGACCAAGTCTGAAAAGATGTTTAAAAACGTCTTTGGGAGTGAATGAGTTGAATACAAGTACAAATAAAAAGCCTTTTTATACACACATGCTAAACGCTAACATGCACGCTATTGAAACATTAAATTCTGTTTCACATCATTGTCAAACGCGCTCATATAAAATTCTGAAACATGCATTTAAGTAGTCGGCATGAGAGTGTTTCAGTCCCGTGCATGTCAATGTTTTGTGTGAGAGGTAATCCCGTACAATGTCCTTGACGGCCCCTCGCATTCTTGGATGCTTTCACAGCAGATTGTTGATGGTGGCTTGTCACTTTTTTTTTCCTTCATTAATTTTGTGCATTTTGTTTCTCGAGGGGGAGTGGTATTTCCTGTGAAGGCATTGTGTGTTTTCCACAGTCATCTGCATGGTGTTGTGCATCAGTAACTTTGGCTTTGGTCTACTACTCTCCCGCATACACTTATGCAGGTTTTACCCGTTCACTCTTTTCTGCATGAATGTCGCTTGACGTGAAAAAGTCCGTGTAACCTTGCCAGTGTCGCACACTTCCACAATGTTTGGCTTGTCCAGCTGGAGCTCTGTTGTCGTGAACTGATATTTTGCCACCTTCTTCTATAACCTCATACTTGTTATGCAAAGTACATGTGTGCTGTTTTGTGTGGCTTTTCTCATTGTCTGCATTACTTACTATCTGGTAACAGTGGCGAAGAGGAAGTGGCCCATGGTATGAAGGTGTGGAGGAAGGCCCTGACTGAAGTGCGCAGTGCCGCCCAGCTAGCCATGTGTATCCAGCAGCTACAGAAGTCCATCGCTTGGGAGCGTTCCATCATGAAAGTGGTGAGAAGCAGTACTTGCATTCGGTACTCGGTAGAAGTACAAATATCAGAGAAAAATCTAGTCATATATTATGTTACTTCTTCCCACTGGTGAGGAGCAGATAGACTACTGTAGAATCATAATGACCAATAAAGAGCACAAACCAATCCAGAAAGTGTGCTCTTAATGGATGCACTTGTTGTACAGTACTGTCAGATGTGCAGGAAGGGAGACAATGAGGACCTCCTGCTCCTGTGTGACGGCTGTGACAAAGGCTGCCACACTTACTGTCACAAACCCAAAATCACCAGCATCCCCGAGGGCGACTGGTACTGCCCGGCCTGCATCACTAAGGTATCATCCATCCTCCGCAATGCTGTCTTGCATTTGTCCTCACTTGTAACACAATTTAGCACACCGGTGGAACGATTGTGTCTTTTCAGTCGTTTCCACTGTAAGTGCCACTTTCGGCCGACTAGACCAACCTCAAGCTGGATAAATACAACATTTAACTAGTTAACATATAACGCTTCTCTAATAGTGCTTGTGGCGCAGAGAGTTCAACTGGCCAATAATTTTGCTTCACTAGTCACATGTTGTTGTCCAACTAGTGTGCCAATGTGGCTCTAATAGTGTGCAGAAATGTCAAGCTGTATTGTACTTTACTGCCAGTGTAGATGGCACAGAATCTTCAGAAATGTGTTGCTTTTTACACGATTCCAGGCAAGTGGTCCAACCCCCAAAAGCAAGAAACCTCCATGCAAACCAGTAGCATCCAGTGTGGCAGCAGGGAAGAAAGGCGGTGATGCCAAAAAGAACGGGAAGCATGCCGGAAATGGGGAGGTGTCTGAGGATGAACCGGCCAGCGCCAGCAGCACGCCCAAGAAAAGTTCAAAAGACAACAGTCGGAATAGGAAAAGTGAGGAGGGTTTAAATACTCTGCCGGGACCAAATCAGGAAAGCCCCGTGTGTGTCAAAAGAGCAAAGACTGCTCGAGACAACAACAGGGACTTGGGCTTATGCAGGTATGGGCATTATTATTGCTATTAAAGTCTTCGTTCATGTCTCTTTTAATTAACTCTTGGGCGTTGTTTGATTTTCCGACACTTAGATTGTCTGTGGCCAAAAATAGTCTTTGAATTTTTCAAATTTGTTTTGTTTATTGCTTCTGCTACAACATACAGTTTTTAACTGACACCAGTTCTTATCATGAGTATAAAATACCCTTTCAATTTTATTTTTTAACCTTACAAAGTCCAGTTTGTTTGCAAACGGCTATAGCTCATTGGCACCATGTTGCTGACACCTGCCTTAAATTATTGATTATCACTGTATGCTCTTGAATTTGCATGAACACAGCTAAAGTGTTTAGATTTTTAATGAGATGGAAGTGAGCATAGAGCTCACGTGGTAAACTGAAACTACAATGGCATAGAAATGTAACATGCTTGTAACAAAGTGTGTGTTGGCCAGGGTTCTCCTTGCTGAGCTGGAGCGACATCAGGACGCCTGGCCTTTCCTCACACCCGTTAACCTCAAGTCAGTCCCCGGCTATAAGAAAGTCATCAAAAAGCCCATGGATTTCTCCACCATACGTGAGAAGCTCGTGAGCAGCCAGTGAGTTCAACCGTCGCTTAGCACAATTGTTTTCCTGTATTATTCAACAGTTAAGATCCAATGAATGTGTTAACTTACTTCTTCGCTATTTTGTACCACAAGTCGTTTTTATTATTCTGCCCAATTTATTTGTCCTTCCACTCCTTTCACATTTTTCAGCTGATTCAAGCAAGTCGTATATTCACAAAATTGAGGACATTTCTGCTTGGACAGTATTTATGGCATTTGCATTCTAGCATCCAGAATTTGATTTTCCACAACAAACATTTAAGTGAAAGAAGTTCAACAAAACAGTTTCCTTTTGCAATACGTGAATTACCACATTACCAATTTTTTATTTTTCTCCACATTTACCAAATCAAGAAAGACATTTTTACATGTTGACTTCCCACCCCCACCACATCTGATTCGTGTGCAAATATCTGGCTATATATATGGCCAGAAAATATCTGCGCGCACACACATACATATTTTGCCCATATTTAAAACAGCATCTTTAGGAATTACGTGGTCCCTAGGACCACTGATGAAAAATGATGCCCCCCCGCACCCCCCACCAACATTTAAGTTGCCCATCCCGCATCTATGGTATTTTTTATTACATTTTCCAGATTCGTCCACAATAAAATCCCCAAATTCAAAGATAATTTACATACGTTCCTCCTTCTATATTTTTTACTGATTCGAAGCATTCCAACTTCTAAATGTTGACCTCATTCAAGAAATCTCAGGAACTATTCATCACATTTCTACCACATTTTCAATAAACATGTTTGACATATTTACTACCTCCTCCTATATTTAGTGAATCAAGTCCCAGTCTAAATTTCAATAGTCCCAATAATTCCGTATTATTTTATGTTCGCATCAGCTGTTGTGCATTCAACAGAAATTGAAGTCTCGAGCTTGTTCTGTATTTTCCCCCTGCCTCATACTATTCTATGTTTGTCTGATTGTAGATATCAAAACCTGGAGACTTTCATCATTGATGTCAATTTGGTGTTTGACAACTGCGAAAAGTTCAACGAGGACAATTCTGACATTGGTCGAGCCGGTCATAACATGAGGAAATTTTTTGAGAAACGCTGGACTGAACTTCTGAAACAAACAAACTAAATTCAGAGTAAAAGAAAAACAACATCATTCTCCTCATCCTCATTGAACACATTTGACTTTCATATCGGGGCAGCAGGTTTTAATTTCATTCTTGGGGGAGAACGTGGCTTTGCCAGCAGGAGAGATCGATGCCACCTTGAAATCCGAGTTGTTACATGAACTGCGCTGGATTTATTACAACAGGGATCCAAAACCCCAAAGACTCCAAGAGAAATGGGGTACTGTAGTGCAATACCACTCCCTGTGTCAGAACACTGCACTGAATGAATCCTCACTGATGTGTCTGCGCTAGAATACTTTCCACTACCTGTAAATAGATGTTTTTGTTATTTAATCGTATTATAGTGAATGTATTTAATTTTGTAATGATTATTTATGAATCAAGGTCCACTTCATTTTCTATGAAAAGGAAGACTCGGCGTAACCACTTTTGAATCGAAAAAGGAATGTGTCTGTGTTCTAATTTTTTTTTCTTCACCCAAATATCAAACAAAGCCAAGAAAAAAAAAAGCTGTTTACACTGTTCAGTGCTTTGGGCGTCAGAGGACTGTCTTCATTTGTTCAAACTGCATTTATTCACAGGAACAGCAGAGAGGGACAATTACATTGATGATTCATGTGTATATACTGTTTATTAATGTCAATATTTTGTCTTGTTTGAAACGATGTGTACAAATGGTTTAAGAATATTAAGATATTGTTTATGCCTTAGAATGATTGTAGCATTCTATTTTAGTGAACGTGATGAAAACATGATAAATATTGTTTGTACAGTATATACATATCCTCTGCAAACACTGTGGTATCCTTAATCTTGGTAGTGCCTACCCTTCCAACAGGGGCATGTAGGGGATGTTAATTGTTCTTTGTTTTTATGACATGTCTTTTTTTTTTTTTTTAAATATGATTTCAATCCAACAAGGCCTCCAAAGTTGGACAGTGACACAGACATCATTCCTCACCGTTGAAACGAAAACAAGGAACAAGCATTGAGCAATGCTTCCGTGGCGCATTTCCTCACCGTCTGCCAGAGGACCTAAAGGCCATTTGTAACCACTGTGTTGAACCTTGCTGTGTGTTGTGGCCTGATGGAGGCAGCTAGATTTTTTTGTACCAAGTCAAAAAGTACTTGAAGTTACTTTATTTAAGATAATGTGGAATAAAAGTATCATTCTTTTGTAGGAGCTTTATTTTTCACTAGTGTGTGGCACGGACCTATTAAAAGGATGTTTTTCAATGTAAAACCCTTGAACTGGTTTTCTTTGCGTAATACTCTACTCAAAACCCCATCTCTCGATGCTAATTGTGTGAATGAGTGCATTGTTTTTCCACACCTAAATTAGTATTACCACGAATCAACATTTTAAAATGACTGCCGCAAAGATTCTTTGCACATTCTCTCAACAGACGATTCCAACTTCAAATATGTTGAACTCATTCAAGACACTGTTGAACCTTTTTATTCTCATATTCTTTTACTCCTAAATTTCCACAAAGGCGGTCCCAAATGAAAACTGGCATTTTAACATTTATCTACAAACAGGTCAAGTGTAATATTGTGGCAGGGCCGCGACTCCGACCAAATTGGGGCCCAACTTTTTTAACCGTAAACAGTTTATAGTAGTAATAAAATGAATTCCCCCCCAAATGAAAATAATATAAAAACGTCAAACTGCTGTAAAATAATTCCACAAATCTAAATTGAACATGCATGTGTACCTTTATATTTAAGTGATGCTCATGATCGCTTAAGGCTAAAGCGCTCGTGTGCCTTTGATGAGCGGAAGAGGTCTAATGACCTTCGGTTTTAAAAATAGACAGTTACTGTGATGCAGTAAATAAGATATAGGAAAATAATACTGTTACTATTATTAGATCGAAGGTGACGAACTCTAGGCCCGAGGCAAAATGCAACATTTATGTGGTCCGCAAAACCAAATCAGGTGCGACGACGTCATGTTTCTTGCAAATTGTCCTGAGATGTGAGACTTTGCAAGCATTTTTTGATACCAATCCCTCCTTTAAAATTAATTGAAAAACAATGTTTGACTGGCTTCTGATTTTCAAACTACTGTACTTACCCATCAATTTGTTTTGTACATGCAATAATTTAAGGGGATCACAATACCGCATGTAACGCCCTTCGAGGCACACTGTAACGACGATGCGGCTTACCACAAAAATGAGTTTTGACAACCCATTTATCTACTGTGCTAATACTAGCCTACTACAACTGCCATTACTGTTAGTACAACAGTAACCACATTGTAAATTGTGTCATCAACGTTGTGCCTCCGGGCAACGGGTAACCCCAAGGACTACAGTACACTGCTTTCAGAGATTTCTGTCAATTGAGTTGGTGGTTTGTGCCATATGCATCAATCAAGAGAAACACGCGATTACTCTTGGACGATGTGTCGAATCTGCTCTGGAAGTGGCGGCAAGCGCATCAGATGCCAGGGATGGTGAGTGAGTGCTGTCATTGCAGCAATCGATGCCTCTCCATCCGCGGGCCAATATGGTACCTCATGGTACCTCAGGGTAGCGCATAGGATGAGGCACTACAAACAGTGCGTGTTCCAGGTTTGATGGGCTGCCCTGCATGCATTGCAGTATCCCTGTGTTGACAACGTTCGCACAGAAACAACAGGGTCCAGTTTTTCCTACAACACAATGATCAGTAATTCAACAAGACGGAAACTTTATGTGCAGAGAAGTGGTCCCCACCCAATCCCCAATTTTGCCAAGTTAGCAAAACCGATATATACCAGTCACAAGTATTGACTACATTACATCTAGCAACATGGCATGTAAATACTGTACTGTATACGTAAACACAAGGGAATTACGTCACTCATGACGACATTTTGGGAGGTCGCTGAGGTGTAAACAGGAAGTACTGTAAACCGAACTGACTCAAGTGCGAAGAAAAAACGGTAAATGATTTTTGTCTGTGTGTGTGAAAATGTTTGAAATAGTGGCGTTGCCTCGTCATGAATTACGGATTCATTAAAAACACAACAAATCGCTTTAATCTAACGTTAGCTTCCGGTTATCTTGGCTACAACAAGATTTCCAGTATTTCTCTATTTACCTTCCTTAGCTATTAGGTTAATATCTGAAACATTGGTCTATCTTATTAAAATCAAATGCACATACTGTAGACTCATATCCGTGGTAATGTATACGCCTGTTTTGCTTTGCAGCCGTCTGCCATAAAGTGTGAAATACTGTATGTGCAACGAGAAACTGGTGTCTCACTAGTATTTTTCCCCCTCTACTGTATGATATTTCTGAACACTCATAGAACAGTTTTGGCATCCAAGCAGGACATCAACACTAGTTAGTCAAAACTACATGTTGACGTTTTAGTGCTACTATTAAGTTCCTGGAGGCTACTACAACTGGTGCGTGGCACTAGTTGGCTCTGGGGGTGTTACTATTGCAGCAGAGTAATTTACTAGGTTTAATTGCGCACCAGTTAGCCAAAGATGGCACAAGTAGTGGAAAGAAACTTACTAGTAACACTCAGTTTTTCTTCTAGTATCCCATTTGAGGACTAAGACAGCACTGCCAAAATATGTATATGGAAAGTGGCTTGAGCATTTATTTGATATCCATTTTAGGATTTATGTACTTGTATGCTTTTTGTCCTTCTGAATACGACAACTCAGCACACTAGGAGAATGATTGTGTCGTAATAGTATTTTTTTTCACTACTGGTTTCCCCTGCTGTTCGGCATCTGCACATTAGTCGGACAGCTTTGGCATCCAAGTAGGGCATCGACATGCTACAAGACTGGTTTCCCCTACTGTTAGGCATCTGCACATTAGTCGGTCTGCTTTGGCATCCAAGTAGGGCATCGACATGCTACAAGTGAGGCAGAACTGTCGAGTACAACTAGTGCACATCAAGTCAGTTTTGTCACTTTTGTCTGCTGCTAATTCACAACACAAAGTTATCTCAAGGCAATTTAGACATTGAGTAAGTCAAGAAACACCTGAGCAAGTACCATGATAGAGGGGTTGAGTGTAAAGAACAAGAGGCACAATATCAGCTATATCAACAAGAGTAGTGAAGTGCTAGATGTTAACTTCCAGAATGTTATAATGTCACCAGTAGTATGATTAACATGCAGTTGCTCACCAGTGAACAATTTTGCCTGACTAGTAACGTGCTTTTCCAACTAGTAAGTTAAAGTTGTTCTTCTAATAAGGATAAAGAGTGTACTAGTACTTGGGCCAAAACCTGGATATCATTGATATCGAATAATTGTGTACAGTACAATGCATAAAGCGTACCAAACACACACACACACACACACACACACACACACACACACACACACACTCTCTAAAAAAAGAGTCACTTGTTTATATGCTTATGTGTTTATGTTAATGTGCTCCTTGTGATATTGTACAGTACGACCATCTCTCCAAATGGTGTCCCTGATTTGCACTATACAAGACCACCGAGATGACGTCAACTGGTGTGCATTCTCCACACAACTGTTAGCCACATGTTCGGGCGACAAGACCGTGCGGGTGTACAACACCCAGGACTTCTCCGAACTGGCCTTCTCACCGCTGGAAGGACACGGTTACAGTGTCCACTGCTGTTGCTTCAGCCCCTGCGGACAGTTCCTTGCCTCGTGTTCCACAGATGCCACCACGCTGGTGTGGTCCATGGTCACCGGAGAGATCGAGGCAGTCCTACAGCATCCCGGTCGCAGCCCCGTTAGAATCTGTGTGCTCTCTCCGGACTCCACCCATCTGGTCTCTGGTGCATCTGATGGGTCATTGGCTCTCTGGGATTTCCCATTCAAGCAGCTCCGCAGGTTTGTGAGTACTTACTGTGAAACCCCATTGGTCACAGAGGATGCATTTCAGACCCACCCGCGATATGTGAAAATCCGCGACATAGCTAAATTATATAAAAACATGTTTTTTAAAATTCCTGCAAACTTTGAAAGGGAATTTAAGTCAAATGTTTTCTTTGCAATAAATTCTATGTTCCCTCGTTAGTCTGAATAGTGAACGCGATATTTTGATTAAGTGTTTGCGGAATCAGAATTAAGAAGAAAAAAGAAGATGAAGCCAGCCATTTTTATCGATCTCACGGCGATGCAGTGCCATTTGTCGTCACCTGTTTTCTGGGCTCGATCTCATGACGTTTGTAATGCAAGCCCGAGGGCACTTTGACATTGTTATTACAAAGATTTTTGCCTTGAGTTCAAGAAATTGGAGGCTATCATTTCACAACACTTTGAGGATAAAAAAAGGCTTGCATAGTCTTCCAAAGATGCAAATTTTCAAGCTATTTGTCACCCACAGTTGAAGTTTACTGTAAAACTGACACATAAGACAAAAAGTGATTAAACATTGTATTATATTAGTATTACATTGTATAGAATACCGTTTCTTGTTTATCATGGATTTTCACCTATGGTGGGTTTGGTGTCCCACGTGATACTCATGGATTTATGATGAGTAAGTGGAAGGGATTTAAAAGTGTTAACTGTTTGTGAAGGACCAGCTGCGTGAGTGACACGACATTGGTGGCGTGCTCGTTCAGCCCGTGCAGCCAGTTGTTTGTCACGGGCTCCACCTACGGCGACCTCCGTGTGTGGGACCTGGATTTGAACCAGCTCCATGCAGAGAAGAATGCTCACGACCTCGGCGTCACCTGCTGCGCCTTTGCTCCCAACATCCTCAGCGGTCAGAGATAAAGCATTTAAATTTTTTTTTTTTTTTATATATGTATCTTGTCATCAGCAGGCTGCAACTACAGAGAGAAGTCCAAAGCCCAAAGTCAGTTGGGTGTGCCACAACACAGTCAATGACCCTCCAATTCTGGTTGTTTGTTTGGCAGACAGTCAAGTTGTGCAGTTTCATTTGGCGTCGTGTGGTCAGGACAGTCACGTGAAGATCTGGGCCATGAACAAGCTGAGTTCTGGAGGTAAACCACAGCAGAAGAATTCACAAAACACACTAGGTCTCGACTGTCTTACTTACCAATCAGGACTTTTCTGTCATTTTTAGCCTTTAGGATGCAGCTTCTGCACACGTTGACTGGCCAGTCGGCTCCTGTCCTCACATGTGCATACTCCTCAGATGGACAACTGCTTGTCTCAGGGTAAGGAGGAAGGAGAGGAGGTGATTTATTAGATTTTAATTGATTTTACAGTTTCTGGCCCCTTTGAACTATCTCATGAACGTATTGACTGTATAAATCTCCCTTTGAGAAGTCTCAGTGACAATGGAATTGATTATCTCCAGGGTAGTTAAATCATTTACACCTGATGACATCAGAGAAAGCTGACGAGAATAACTCTGCAGAACATGACCACTGGAGGGAGACATGCATCAGTTTATTTAATCTGAAAGTCACTAAACATTTTTTTTTTTGTCCTACAGCTCTGTGGACAAAACAGTGACCGTCTATGATGCAGTGAGTTCCATATTCAAGTTGATTATTATGAGGTGCCATATAGGATAAAAATAATATTTATCTCTTATACTCAGCAAAAAACTCTCACACAAACAAACCTCTAACACACGTCATGCCCACCCTGAAAAACACAACCCAAAAAAGTCTCACTCTAGAAAACTTGAACATTCACAAAAGAAAAAAAACACACACAAGACAAAAAAAATCTCGCACACACAAGAAACACCTCACACAAAAGTGGACACACACTAAACCTCTCAAGCACAACCAAAATCTTATCTCAAACTCACAAAAATAACCTCTCAAACCTTCCCAAAACCTCTCATGCCACACCAAAAAACCTGTTACAATGACCAAAAAAATCTCACACACCACCCAAAAAACTGTTACTCTCACCAAAAAACCCTGAGACGCCAAAATCTCTCAATGCACTAAAGAGCTCAGACCAACCCCCAAAAAACTCTCACATGCCCCAAAAATCCCCTCATGCACAATTCCCTTACTGACCTAACCCTTTTTATTAAAAACAAATAAACCCTACACAAAGATCCAAAAGGAATGTACTTTCACTTTCATTCTAATTGGCTCTGCCATGCAATAAATCTCGCCCTCACCCAGTTGCCGCTGTTCAGGTTCAGATGGCTCCCAGATTAACTGCCATATGGGTGAGAAGTTTTTTTCGTAGTGTATGAAAGGAAAATGTAAATTTTTGCATATTCCAAACCTCATACATCATGGTTTCTCTCATTATATTTATTAATACACGTCTTTCTTTTTCACTTTGTAGAAAAATGCTGTGTTGCTTTACACATTGAATCAGCATGAGAGGTAGGTCCATCGAGAAGCCAAGCTTATACAGTGGATTTGAGAACACATCATTGTGAAACTTGTATCCCACTATATTATTTGTCTTATTTTGAAGCAGTCATAAGTGAACTGTACTTACTATATACTTGAAGCACACTGTATTTGAACATTTATTTTACAAAATTACTCCAGAAACCAAAATGTTGTAACATGTCTAATATATTCACCAGTCTAAGATAAGATAAGATATCGTATCTTAGACTGGTGAATTCACCATATTCACAATATTCACCAGTCTAGTGTATACATAAATAATACGGTACACATTTCACAGTGTTTATGAATGCACAGCAAATTCAAATTGACATTGCTCATATCATAATAGCCACATTGGTAAAATATTCAGTCCTAACATTTTCATCATTATAGTCTATACGTGAAGACAGCCAAAAGTATTGAATTTGGCTGTTGCTTCGTGGCAAACAGAAGCAATATTCCAATGACAACCATCCTCTGCCACAGGTATGTGACGGCGTGTTCCTTCTCTCCAACTTCACCACTAATTGCCACGGGATCCATGGATAAGACGGTGAACATCTGGAGAGTGGAAGATGGATGCAGTGGGCATGGTTTGACTAACACAAACTCCTCCTGATCATGAATGTTTCCTTTTTCATTGTTTGCCTTTTCTTTGTCTTTTTCATACCTGCTTTGCTGCATTACAGCTGGGAAACCAATGCCTGGTAAGGTTTATATTAACATTTGTTCCATGAAATTGTATCCATTTATTTCCAAAAGTCTATTCTCTTCATTTTAATCATTTTTACATTTTTAGCAAACTGAGGGATCCCTGTTCATTTTGTATTTTCACCACTCTTACTTCGTCTTATGTACTGTTTTGACCTTTAATGTGCTCTCTCTTCCAGAAGACTCCACTGTGACGGCATGTCAAGGTAAGATGTTAATTTTGTTACACCAATTGTGACTACGGTAACTTAGATAGATAGATGGTTTGCCCTGCAATTGACTAGCGACCAGTTCAGGGTGTAGTCTGCCTTCCACCGGAAGTCAGCTGGGATAGGCTGCTGCCACCCTGTTCAGGATAAGATGTGTTGAAAATGGATGGATGGATATGTATTTCTGTATTAATATAATATGTATATATGTATGTGTGTATATATACAGTGCTGTGAAAAAGTATTTGCCTCCTTCCTGATTTCTGTGTTCTTTGCATATTTATCACACACAAAATTTTCTTTTCATCAACCAATTTTAATATCACACAGAGACAGCCCAAGGAGATACAAAATGCTGTTTCTTAATGCCAATTTAATTTATTAAGGCAACAACAACAACAAAAAAAAAAACTACACCCTTGCACCACATTTGTTGAATCAAGAAATCATATAAATAGAATCTGTCAGACAAAGCGAAGTCTAAGAGCACGACCTAAGAGCGCTTGAGTTTTGAGGGCGCAAACTGATGGTCAGACGTTCTCCTTTAGGATTTTCTGGTAGACAGCAGAATGCATTGTCCCATCAATCACAGTAAGTTGTCTTGGTCCTGAGGAAGCAAAGCAGCCCCAGACCATCCCACTGCCATCATCATTTGCCATTCATCAGCAAAATGGCCGTCCATCAGTGACAGACTTCCTTAAACTGTTCTAATAGTCTCACACAGTTGTCCACAAAGAGGTGCACCTCGCCCCATCTTTGCTTGTGAATGACTGAGCAATTCAGGGAAGCTCCTTTTATACAATCAAGGCATCCACCTGTTCCCAGTTAGCCAGCTTACCTGTGGGATGTTTCATACTGGTGTTTGATGAGCATTCCTCAATGTTCATTTTTATATAATACAACATACATCTACAATACATCTTTATTTATATAGCGCTTTCGCAACAGCTGCAGCTGTATCAAAGCGCTTTACAGAACAGTTACCATAACATAACAGAACACATAACATAAAACATGGACAATCATACAGTCGTAACAATTATTTCTGCATACACCTTGTTGTTTGAAGCAGTGACAGATGAAAGAGGAGAGAATCAAAGTCTCCTTTCACCAGTCACCTGTCCCAGCTTTTTTGGAATGTGTTGCAGCCATAATATTCAGTTAGAACATTAAATATCGTGTCTTTGTAGTGTATTCAATTCAATATCGGTTGAACATGATTTGCAAATCATCATATTCCTGTTTTTTGTATGTTTAACACATTGCCCCATCTTCATTGAAATTGGGTTTTTATACGAGTTCTTAACAGCGAGAACAAGCACTCATAAAAAAGTGGTGTTTTGATCAGTTTTTGTGTTTTTCAATAAGGCTTGACGTGTTTGCAAAAGGTAAAACTGCACTTAAAAAAAAGGCCAATCTTTCTACCTGGACTTGAACTTGTCGCAGGTGGGTCTAGAAAATCGCTTCTATGATAAGGTTGGGTTCACTGATTTAATAAATGATCATTTGTAAAGACTATTTTCTGATGGAGCATGACTGCGACACGGTGTACAAAGCAAGATCCATAAAGCCACCTGCTCTCGACTTCTCCTCAATGTTTTTGTTCATACACAGTCCATGTATGGAGTAGTGCCTGTCAGCTTTTGATCTGACTGCACGTGTGCTCTCTCCACCTTTATACTTTTATCCTTTGTCAATGAGAATATCAATGAAAGCTCTCTGGATGAATCCATAACGTGTCCCAGCTACTTAAGCTGCACCTCTTGAAATCAATCGCCAGCAGGGCTCCAAGATAACATTTACCCTTTTTCAATAAAAGAAGGGGGGGAAAAAACTCAACTGTCACTCTGCTTTGTCCTCTCAGCATCGACATCAGCAGGTCGGTCCAAGCTGCTGGTCAGTGATTGGTCAGAAGAGGATGTGGCCGTGTGGCTGTTGGAGGAAGGTCTGGAGGGATTGGTGGACACATTCAGGAGCAACAACATTGACGGGATTGAGCTGCTTGCACTTACCAAAGATACACTGCTGTCAGAACTGCACATAGGTAGGAACCACTCGCTGCTTACCTAAGTTTATGACTCTGAAAAACTCTAGGAGATTGGGTGTTGTTGATATTTCAGGTTGGATTTAAAATTAATTAGAATTCTGTCCTCTTTAGAGGTGACCTTAATTTTACCTTCTCCAAACTTTTGAATCCACATGTTGAACTGCTTTAATGGTTCAGTACTTGATGCACAACATAACATGCTATTCTCGAACAAAGACCCAAATGGCAAGACTCACATGGACCATTGGGTCATTTAAACTACAATCCGATTATCGGTGTTGACATTTTGACGAATATCCACATCTGTATTTTTTTTCTTTGAAGATCTGAAGCTGATAAGAGATCAATTTAAAATTGCACATAACACACAACAAATGCACAACAAAGGTTCATCAGCACCTTGCAACAAAGATGTAGAGGGAGAATGGAAGAGTCACAGAAAGGCAAAAGTGGGTATGCTTGGAAATTATGGATGGTAAATTTGAATTGAAAAGATGGTAAATTTCCTTACAGCTCCTCTTTAGAGAACAGCAACTTTGTTGTGTATAAAAAACTTATATGTTGAACAGTTGGACATGCACAGTCAAAAGTTTAAGAGAAGGGCAAATTAAGTTCACCATTTTTTGGTTCATCCCGATATTTCAACCAATATTCCGAACTCTTTGGCAATAGTCTATATGCAAGGAAACAAGAGCACTGAGATTCAAAAAATAAAAAATAAAATTCTGTCTACAATGTAGGATCTTAAAATCAAAAGGGAGTCAAGTTACATCCAGATGCTGAAGATTTTTGGATCCCTAAAACAAAGTGTCTCTGTTTTATACACAAATATTTCAATTTGTACAAGTTTAACTAAGAAATTATTCACTTTTGTTTTGCCCAAAATAAACAGTAGTGATTTGAAATGTAGACAGTAGTTCAGTAATATAAAATCTCTAAATACAACATCATCGGCAGAATGCCGATCTTGTCAAATTCAGATCGATACATCAAAAACGCATGCATGCGAGCGAATGAAGCAAAAGCAATGAAAACATAACCTGCAGGTTAAAAGGGGGGCTTACCCTGAGTTCAGTGCGTGTCTGGGTTACGACGTGTCTGAGTAGTTCCACAGCGAGTTGACAACTAGGTAAAAGGTGTCATGTCCCGTATTCGACAGCAGGTGGCAGGCACTCACTCTGCCACCTGCACACCTGTTGTGCATTTGTTTGTGATTACACCTGCTATATGTAGGCGCTCCGGCTGTCAACTCATTGCCGGAGTATTGCTTGCCGTGCCACTGCTATTGCCCATGCTCGTATTTCGTATCTCGCACTCTATTGCTATTCGCGACCATTTCGTCATCCCAGTGGGATCCTCTTTAACGCGTAGTTATTCGAAGTAAATTGTCTTATCTTTTCCTTGCCGTTTTTTGCAAGCGCTTTCTTTTCCTCACGTTACATTAATTCCTGGTTCTCGTTTTGACCAGCGTTTTGTGTTTTCCTTTTGACGGTGTTTTTTCGTTTGTAACAAATATTATTTGATAGATAAGACCTTGTTCAGTGCCTGCTATTTCGGGGATCCACCTATTCTTGTTCGCTCCGTTGCGTACGAAGCAGCTCTCTCCTTCTGCCTAGTACGCAACGTGACAGAATACTCCGGCCACCATGGATCCCGCAGATATTGATAAGGTTTTGTCCGCTCTGTCCCGTCTAGAGCGATATGTGAGTCAGCAGGGCCCAGCCGTTACGGAACTTCGCGGCGCGGTTTCCATGCTGGCTCATAGGTTCGATGATTTCGAGCCTCGCTTA